TCGCTCACACCCCCAGTCCCATGGTCTGCTCCTACAGGCCGGCCTTTGAACAGCGAGGCTCGCCTTTAATCTACACAGTAGCCTATCCGTACAGTCTAGTCCTTCTCGCCATGGAGCGATAGGAGGGGGCAAATGCGAGCGGCTTCGGGTCCTTTTCCTCGTTGGGCAGCATAACGGGGGGACACATCCGCCCCTCTCTTCCCACTCCAGGCTGGATTCGCTGGTCTATCCGTACAGTCCGGCACCCCTCTCCCCATCTTTGGCAAGTAAGCTTGTTGACGGGAACTCACAGACATGAGACCATTTTGCAACGTCCAGAAGCTGTCAAGGAAGACAATGGAAGGAGTGTAAAGGACGGGAAGGTTGCGTTCTTGGCACGCCACTGACGCTCGGTAGTCTCAACGGTTGCTAGTCATGGCGCTGTCTCTCATTGAGGAGAAGCAAGTCTACAGTTTGGGCTCCCAAGCAGCGACAAATTCCCATATAGATCGACGGCGGGATGCTGTGGAACTGGGAAGAAAGTCCCAAACATCTGGGTTCTTCCTCGACCCCCCTTCAATATCTGCTTGGGGGCTGTACCGACATCGTCCAGAATTTGACTGCCCAACACAAGGGTATCGATCGAACTCTTGGCCAGCGAAGATGATATCCTTGCCAGATGTAAAGCAGCAGGAGCAGGTGCCAAGGGGGTGTGGGAGAAAAAACAGAATCCTGGTGTAGGGATTTGCCAGCACCTCCGTCCTTCTCCCCCAAGAGCTGCTCCAGTTTCTCTTCCCACGGCCGCACCCACATGACTGGTAACAGGATCTGTTTTGGAAAGCCAGGGCCGCCACATTTCGTGTAAAGCTGTTCAGACTCTAGAGGGCAAAGGCCACCGAGAGGTCCTCCTCGATTGGCCCTGCCTGCCTGCCGCTATTCCGTTTCTTCTCCTGTATCCTGGTCCTGTCTTGCTGCAAGTCTAGGAAGAGGCAGACATGCTGACCTTTTTCATTACATCTTTGTGGCCAAGTTCTGTTGTCTCTTTTTTGACCTGTGTGGCAACCCCTACCTGAGTTGTACGTCTTTCACTTCAAGACGTGCAAGAAGAGTTTGAAGAAAAAGGCGTTTCCTTTCCAAGCAAGCTGCATTCTTACCCCAGGAGGGCAATGGCATATAGAATCTACCTCTATCCCCATCCTGTCTTTCTGAACCGTTCCCCACGCCCTCGCATCAGATATCTGACCCCCGTTTGTTGGTCAAGGCTCTCTTGAGCTTGGAATTAAAACTGGTATACACCTTTGCAGAACTCTCAATCTGACGAAGATCGAGGAATTCCAACATGTCTCAGGCCGTAGCGGCGCTGGTCCACGCGGCTCAGCTAAGGGACACGAGTAGCACCTCGGCGGCGCTGCCACCCATCACCGACGACTATCCGTACCCTTATTCCTCTCTGCAACATACCGGTTTCTTTGTGCTATTCTTCTTTCCGACGATTGCTCTCCTCGTGGTAGGCCTACGGGTGTATAGCAGAGTCTCTACCAAACAATTTGGCTGGGGTCAGTTGAATCCAAGACCTCGATCTGCGTTGACATTCTCTCCCAATGAACTGTAACTAATCTTTGCCGATGCAGATGATGGCTTGATTTGCTTTGCCATGGTAAGTCTGACAGCTCGAATAACTCACCTCTCTAAGTAGTCACTAACATTGGACCCTCCAGGCAGATTCCATTGCCGAGACGGCAGCATCATACATGGGAATGCGGTTAGGATTCATCGGCATCCACGTCAGCGACATACCCCTCGAAGCCGACAGCCGCCTTGGGAGCCTCTGGAACTACATCATTCAGCTGCTGTACAACCCGATCCTGGCCATCGTCAAGACGTCGGTGCTCATGTTCCTGCTGCGGCTCAGCGGCCAGAAGCGGTCGGTCCGGTACGCCATCCACGCACTCAACATCTTCAACATTGCGCTCGGCATCGCCATCTTCACGACAATCATCTTCCAGTGTCAGCCCATCAGCTACTTTTGGGAAAAGGCGGGCCGGAACCCGCCGACGGAGGGCAAGTGTATCGACATGGCGGCCTTCTACGTCAGCACCGCCTCTCTCACAATCTTTACCGACGTGCTGGCCCTGGCCTTGCCCTTTTGGATCTTTCTCGGGCTCAAGATGCCTCTCCGCGTCAAGATGGCGCTCCTTGCAGTATTTGGCCTCGGCGCTGTGTAAGTCACAAAGTCATGACATATACAACTTTCGGGCATAAACCTCCCCTTTGCTAATACACCTTTTATCTCGTAGTGTCACCGCCGTCAGCGTCCTCCGCCTCGCATGGCTAATCGAGATATCCTACCACATCAACCAGCAAGACCCGACCTACGACATCCGCTTCACCTACTCCGCCGTCGAAACGAACCTAGCCATCATCACAGCCTCTGCTCCCGCGCTGCGCGGGCTCTTCCTCCGCTGGTTCCCCAAGTTCTTCGCCTCCCTCAAGAGCTCTTCCAACGGCCGTTACGGGGGCGGCTACGTGCGCAGCGGCGATCCTACCAAGAAGTCCCGCAACACTGTGGCGACGGCGACGGCCACGACGGGAACCAGAGGCCGCTCAAATACCGCGCGCAACACCGCCGACGCGTTTCAGCTCAAGAGCATGAAGGGCCGGTCCGAGATCCGGGGCCACTCACCCACGACGAGCGAGGAGGAGATTATGACGTACGACGGGATCATGCGCACGACGGAAGTGAATATCGTGTACGACGAACGAAGGGATTCGACGCCGCGCGGGGGTGGCGGGAGAAGAGATGCTGCGCCCAGGGATAGGGATAGGGATGCGAGTGTGGGTAAACGAGATTACGACGCAAAGCTATATTCGACGACCAGCTCGGGAAGTTTTTGAAGAAGTGAGGGCGGGAACCTCCTCTGCCTTTCTGATGCAAGTTGCTTTTTTACTTATTGATGACCATGTATACAAGAATACCAAATCACATAGCGAAATCGTCCTATTGCCACCTCACTTTGAGGTGGGATGCGGTGGGCGTGAACGAACAATTAGATAGACCAAAGATGAACCCTCCACTGTGATTGCATGTATTAAGATGCTGTGTTATAGCATGAAGCTGACCCAGGAAACAGAAATAGAGAGTTCGCGCACACACCCCCGCCTGGAAACTTTTGTCACTCAACTTGACACCTGTTCAATGGAACCTCGTCGCTTTGACACTGCATGAAAGGCCCATAGTAGAGCTGTTCTATTGCCCCCCGCATGATCTGGGCTGACGAGTCTTCGCGGCTCTGCAACCTCGAGCGCCCCCGGTTTTCGACTACACATCAACCTACATGAATCGCAGAAAGTAGTATTCCGAGCAGAATGCCTTGGAACGCAGCAACAATGACAGAGAGGCTTTGCGGCTGTAACAATTCACCCACCGGAAGGGATGAGAGAGTTGAGCATGGTAGCAACCGCCACCTATATCCGACGATGACGGTCTTCCCTGTCGCGCCATTTTCAGAGAGAGTCTAGCTGCTTCGTTCCTTCCCTCTTCTCTTTTTGAATGAACAGTCACAACGCCCTTGTCACCTACTCCGCGGATGGAACGACGATGCCATCCGGAGCGGAGAATCTGGGCCGGGTATGAAAGACCACTCTTTCCAACTTTCAAGTTTCGAGGAATGTTCCTAGCGATATTGCGCATGCCGGAGCGAGTCGAGGCATTGCGCCATCTTTCACTCTCACTTCTATGTTTTTTTTTTTTTTTTTTTTTTTAAGGGCCTCAAGCTGCAGTCTTACGAGTTTTCTCATCGTCTACTCATCAATTGGTGGAATTGGTACTTTGCCAATTGAGTTTTGCCCGTCCAAGGCACTATTGCTTCTCCTGCTGAACTCTGCATATGCCGGCGCTGTATCTGTACCAAGTTCTGAATTGCTCGTATCAAGTTCTGATAGACGAATCTAAGGCAGGGTTGTTGACTGGCGCCTCCAACGTTTTTTCGTATAAGAAGCTGCCAAAATCTTCCTCTGCATGAGGTAGGGCAGAAGATAGGCTCCCCGCTACGCAAGCCATACTCGAAGAGAGGATGGGGTCGGATGATCGCATGCGGTCTTGGCGAGGGTCTCCCTGTGCATGCTTTCGAGCTAGAAGGGCGCATGTCCAGCAGGAATTGGCACGGATAATGTAGAGCGCAAAGCTTCAGGTTCACCGCTGAAGAGAACATGATCGGCCCAGGCCCCGTGTCTCGATCAGTGCTAGCCGCTCGTATCTCTCCGAAATGAATTTCCCCAGAGGATTCGTGGTGCGGTATGGAGGTACTCAAGTACTGACGTTTTGGAACTAGACCACGTTGTCAGGTATTTGTGATGAAGGATAACGTTGGACCTGACGCGAGATATCGCGAGCTGTGGAAAACGGGCCTAGGACTATTACAGTGTCGGTGAAATATGGTCGAAAAAATTGCCATGACTCGACGTCAAGGATCGAGGGTTCACGACATTGTTCAGCCGTGGTCCGTACCACTAGTTAAGGGTCGAGAGGGAGCCCTTGGAGTCTAGGAAGATGCGACGACAATACCGCCTGGAAGGGCGATGCGTTCGTTCCCTCTTGCCTGCCGCCGAGTCTCTCGGCACGAGGCGTCGCGCAGCCGCATACCTGTCAGTCGATCATTCAAATTGGGGACGATTCCAGAAGTTGAGGCGAGTCCTCTTTTGGAACGTCAATGCTCACGGACTGGGCCCCCCCATCGATCCGATTTCTGCAAGTTGTTCGGAATCATCCGTTCCGCTGCATTGCGGGTTTGGTGGACATGTTCATCTGAAGTTGAAAAGAAAGTTGGATGAAAGTCGTGAAGAAGTCAGGAGCAAGCCTAAGGTGGAATACCTCACCTTCGGTATGCATTAGATGAGGATGATGTAATTATGCGAGTTGGCCCAATTGAGTGTCCCGCAACGGTCGGGTCGCGAACCCCACCGCGGGGTAGTCGACGGTACCAGAGCTTTCCATGTAATTGAATGATATTTTGTTCAACACGTTCACTATACGGCTACATAGGAGCGGAAATCAGCCAGAAACAAAGGAGGCTCTCTATTTGATTTTGGACATCAATCTCCTACACTAAAACTCACTTACAATTCCCCAACATGGCGGGTAAAGATGTGGTTGTGACCGGAGCCACTGGTCTCCTCGGAAGACAGGTAGCGCGGGCGTTTGACATGAAGAGTTGGAACGTCAAGGGTACGGGATACTCTCGCGCCGATGGCGTTTCCGTCTTCAAGGTCGACCTCGGCAAGACCTCTGATGTCGAAAAGTTTCTGGATGAATCCAAGTAAGGCCACCTTCATCATGCTCATAGCCTAGACCATACCTTACTGACTATCATGGTAGGCCACAGGTAGTCGTGCACTGTATGTTTTCAATGCTCTCTTCATAAGACAAAATGGTTCAGCACATACTTACACAACGATTATAAACAGGCGCCGCTCAGAGGTTCCCAGACAAGGTAGACAGCGACCCGGACGCCGCCCGCGCCCTCAACGTCGAGGCCACGCGGTCCCTCGCCAAGCTCTGCGCCGCCCGCTCGACCCTGCTCATCTATATCTCGACCGACTACGTCTTCTCGGGAAAGCAGGGAGACGCACCCTACGAGGCCGACGCGGAGACGGGGCCGACGAACCTCTACGGCCAGACCAAGCTGGATGGCGAGCGCGCCGTACTGGAGGAGTACGATGCTGCTGGCCGCGCGGGGCTGGGTCTTGTCCTCCGTGTGCCTGTACTGTACGGCAAGGCGGACACGCCGGCCGAGAGCGCGACTAACGTGCTCATGGACACGCTGTGGAAGACGCAGGACGGGGGCGCCAAGGTGAAGATGGATCACTGGGCGATTCGGTACCCGACCAACACGGAAGATATTGGGCGCGTGTGTCACGGTAAGTGCATGCTTCATTGTGAGGATAAAGGCCCCTATGACGGCTGACTTGACTACAGATATCGCCGACAAGTACCTCGGGGCCGAGGACCGTAGCTCGTTCCCCAAGATCCTGCAGTTTTCTAGCGAGGATAAGATGACAAAGTACGAAATTTGCCAAAAGTTTGCGGATATTATGGATCTCTCCATGGACGGCATCATTGCCAACACGGAGGGCAACGACCCGAACGCGAGCGTGCAACGGCCGTACGACTGTCATCTTAGCACGCGGGCTCTCAAGGACCTGGGCATTGATGTGTCGACAAGTGACTTTGTCGGATGGTGGAGACGCGAGGTTCATGCTTTCCGACACTGAATGTGGCTTCATCGTGTCTCACTGGGATAAGTGTGTATATCTGGACAACCTCGGTGCGCAGACTTGAACCCGACTGGACTTGTATCGAAGGGAACGCTGTGATGTCGCGTGGAAGGCGGTGGCTTCACGGGACAAGGGCGTCTTTGGTCGCAGATAGGATGTGCCCCTCTCTCATCGGGTTTTCACAGGATGCTTAAATGGTGTTGAATCGCAACGAGTCGATACAATAGCAGAGACATCAATAAGTGGCATATCTGGGTTTAGGCTATTTGAATTGTCTCATGCGGCTATACCCAGCAGTAGTCACAGAATGCGAAAGAGAAAAGTAACAAGGAGGAAGAATTAAGAAGAAAATAAAATGATCAACTGTAAAACCAGGATTTGGAAGCTTCGGTTCAAGTAAAACCGCATTTGAAATTGCGGGTGTCTTTGTTCCTACCATCCGAAGATCCCACGCATCTTGGTTCCTTTTGATTGTTGAGATTGGAGGCAAATCTAACTTATAGCTCGGCATCATGCGTATATTGAGTGGTTCCGGACATGAAGAGAATGAAAAGAGGCAGGGGCACGATGAAGCGTGTGTACTTGAATCGGGCGGGTAAGATGTCTCAAAGGGCGACGGAATTCTGTCGGTTCATCGCGGACGCTTCCAGGACATCATGCGCAATATGACAAGCAACGTGAAGCAATCTCATAAATCACGAAATTCGCATCTCACTGAAATTACAATCCTGATTACGCGGACTCACCGCTGACGGAGGATTCTGCCCAGGCCGAGGTCGCGACCATCATGTAGGAGAAAGTGTAAACACTGACACGTCAAGAGGGCGTCGGGGTCTGGTTAGGAATGCAGTGCTTGCTCGTTCCTGAACCACAATCCATATTCAGTTGGGGGTGCAAATTGGATGAAGCTCGACTGGCATTCGGCAAAGGACGTGCGGCGTCGCGCTCTCGGTGTGCTTTGCATACCTCTGGAGACACATGGACCCCTTTCATCAGCTGACGCGTGATCTGCTGAATAGTCAACAGGTAAGGTGAGATACCTGAGGTGAATACCTTACCTAGAGAAAGGATGAGGCGATTGCCGGGAGAGATGTAAAAAGTCTCCCTTGCCTGCCGTCTTTTTGGACCCCGACTTATGGGAAGGAGAGGTCTTGCCACATTTTCTTTTTTTCCCCTTCCTTCTTTCCTCCTTCGCTCTTTGCTCCTGGTTCTGCCTGTTCGCTGCCTGCATCAAACGTCCATCATTTTTCTTGTACGACACAACGTCTGAATTTCTTCATCATCGTCAACTTTCTTTGCTTAATGCTTCAACTCACAAAGTGCTACTATTGTAGCCATCTAATCTAATCAATATTAACTCACATCTGATTTTTACTTTTACCTTTTTCGCGAACCCCCGTCAAGAAATTTCCCTATCCGGGAACCGAGGAGACCGAAAAAAAAACAAGTTTTGTCGGGACGGACCACCAGCCCTATCAATCTCATCTTTCGTTATCTATCACTTGCAGAGAGATCTGCAGGGTCCTGGGGCAGCACCGCAGCAGCAATCAAAGGAAAGGGGAAATAAGGGCAAAGGCTGCAAGATAACGTTCAAGTATTCCCTGCTGGGCTGGGGGCGATCAGCTCGGAGGGTTCCAAGGTTCCAGCGGACTGGGCCGCAGCCGCACAACGCCGTCGCCGCTACCATCGACGCCATCGGACGAGAAAATCCGGGGTTCTGATTTTCAAGACCCTGTCTAGCATCGTATCGCATATCGTGTCGCATCGGGCGAACGGTCTGAGGGACAGTATAGCCACGACGACGAAAGCGACACTGCCGAGGAGGAGAAGGGGAAACGCGCTCTGGAAACGAAATAACACAATCACTTGACACACAAATCGCGCACCCACACCCATCCACCCGCCCACAATGGAAGGGTTTCCGCGTATTAATCGCACCATGTCGGCAGGCCCAGGGCCACCGAAATCACCTGCGCCGCATCCACCCCGACGAGGCCAGAGCGTCACCGCCGGGAGGCTCACGCGGTACAGAAGCGTGCGGGAGCACAAGAGTGTGCTGGACTTTGGACGCAACTGGCGGGACTGGGAGGTGGATATTTTCCAGGACGACGAGACGGTGTCCAATGCAACGACCGAGACGGGCACCGCGACAAGCATTGCGCTGGGTCTAGGCATTGGAATTGCCGTGGATGAAGAGGAGGGAGCTGTTGTTGGTGGTGATGATGGACAGGCATCGGTCTCGTCGCCGCATCGTCATGATCAGTATGGGCAGCAGCAGCAGCAGCAAACCCCAGCTTCATCATTGAGGAGGAGGCGCACAGCGCCGTTGCTGTCGTCGTCGGTGCCGCAAACACCGTCGGGAGCACCGCAGTTGACAATGCAATGGCAGTGGCCCGATCTCATGGCCGGTACCGGCATCAGCGATGCTTCGTCTCCGTTTGATTTTGAGAATTCTCCGGTCAGTAGTGGTGGCCGTTGTGCAGCAACAGGAGAAGGAGAAGGCCAAGGAGGAGGGCGTAGTGCGAGTTATTATTGTCGTGGGGGTGGTGGAATTAGCACTGATATTGGCAGTACTGGTGCTGGAGATGGTGCGGTTGGCGGTGGAAAAAGAATGGTGGTCCCAGCCCCTCCCGAATCCCCCGTGCGGTTCAGCTACCCCAATCGACGGCGGCCAACCAAGACGGCCCCCAAGGCGGATCTGGACGACAGCTGGAGCCCCTTGCATGGAAGCTCGTCTCCTCCTATTTTTTCTTCTTCGCCGCCTTCTCTGTCTCCAAAGTCCCCTACGACGACGACTACGGATACCAGGTCCTCTCCTCCTGCAGGCGGTGGTCGTGCCAGTGGTGTTATTACTGGTGCAACAACAGACGCATGCGGCCCTTATGGCCCCAGACCCCCAAGCGAACCGGGTTCCTTATTCTCCCTAGCGCCATCCTATTCCGGGTCCACGTCCCCAGCCCCAGGGGTTCCAGGGGTTTCCTCCACTCAGGCCGCCCCTTTGTACGCCTTGAGCCCCTGTCCGCCGGCCCCGTCTGCAGGATCAGCGTTATTACCACCAGCATCAGCGTCAGCTGCTGATGCGTCTGCGTCTGCGTCTTCTGCTTCTTGGTCTGCGGCACCGAAACCGAACCTCGTCGGGCTTGTACCACAACCGCCAACATCGCTGACGACAGTACCTCCTACACCACCACGGCTACCCACAGTCCCAGCAGTCCCAGTCGTCCGCGCATTTGCACTTGCGCCTGCATCTGCGCCTGCGCCAGCGCCAGGAGAAGGATCCCAAGGAACGGCACCACTTGAACCAGCTACACCACCGCCGCCAGTACCGCATCACCCTCCTCCTCCCCCTCCACCACACTCGCTTTTACATCCAACACAACCATCTCCTCCTGGAATAGGACTGGGACTACTTCCGCTGCCCTTCCCGGCTCAAGGCCAAGCCAAAGCCCAAGCCCAGGCACATCATACCCGAGCACGCGACCTCGTCCCGCCTCCCGGTCCCCATCTGCGCCCTCGTTCGCACAATCCAATCTTGGTTTCTTCCCACTCGTCATGCGCCGACCTGAAGCTCGCTGCCAGGGCTGAACACGCTCGCTCTCAGATCATCACCAAGCTCGCCCTCCAACCTGACTCTCATAACAACAACGACTACACCAACATCAACAAGGAGGACATCATCCGCAGCAACAACCCCAACTGGGACCAGCAGCTTGCCCGTCAGGAAGAAGATCGACAGCGCCGGCGCCACCAACAACACCAGCAATTGCTCGCCCAGGAGGAAGAAGAGCACCGACGTCGCAAGGAACAGGAAGAGGAGGACGCTGCTCGCTGGGCCGAAGAGGTTGCTCGTCTTGAAGCAGAGACCGATCGCATCTTGGCAGATCAAAAGGCAAAGGACCTCGCAAGACTCCAGGCTCAATTGGCTGCCGTACCCGACGCACCAGCCTCCCGTGTCCGGAGTCCTATTGTCGACAAGTTTACCTTCTTCCTGAGAAAGGGTCGCAAGACCGAACCTGCGAATACCCTCACAAAACCTCCCTCTCAATATTTTCAACCCCTCACCCTCGATCACAGGCCCGTCAGCGTCATGGACCCCTCCCGCTTTATACAAGCCGGTGGCGGCGGCATTGTCCCCCAGACAGATGCCCCAACCTCTGCTAGCAATGCCGGAGAACGCGTTAGTCTTTCCCTCACTCTGACCATGCAGGACCCTGATCTTCATCTTTTTGCTAATGCTCTTCTCATAGCGAGTGACGATACGCTGCATGCAGTCGTCAATCAGTCTTCCCGTCACCCCCGATACTACCCCGAGTGAGATTCTATACTCGGCCGCCAACCTCATGACCCACAACATCAACCCGCAAACCAGTGTCGTGCTCGAGTGCTATTTTGCTTTTGGTCTGGAACGTCGCCTGAGACGCTATGAGCCTGTGGCTCTTGTGATGAACTCTTGGGACCGCGATACGCAGCACTGTCTACTCATCGTACCGGGTGAATCCACGGACAAGAACCCCGACCTGAACCTCGAAGGTGTGCCCCGCACTATCGATCCGCCCCCAGGTCTCATCAACTTCGCGCTATACCACTCTCAGCGGCCCGGTAAATGGAACAAACGCTACGTCACGCTGTTGGAGACTGGGCAAATGTTTTCGGCCAAGAAGAAGGATGCCAAACTGTCGGACAAGGATGCCGTCTCGCTGTGCCATTTGTCCGACTTCGACCTGTACACCGTCACCGAAAAGGACATGCTGAAGCAGATCAGAACTCCAAAGAAGAATTGCTTTGCGGTCAAGAGTCAACAGAAATCAACAGTCTTCCAAAATACGGAAAACTTCATCCACTTCTTCGCCACGGATGATTTAAAACTCGCGGAAGACTTCCAGAAAGTCATTCAAGGGTGGCGTAGTTGGTACATTGCGAACAAGATTGTCGACCTCAACAAGAAGAAATCTTCTTCACATAGCAGCAGTGCCAGAAGCGGAACGAAAACGGGCGGCGGTGGTGGTCTTACACGAAGCGGCACCTTGCACCGGCCCCGGGCATCCGCCGACGAGACGCCATATACTATTGGAACTTTCTCGCCGCTCCTGGATATGAACAGTTTCGAGAAACCGATTGACGATTTCGGGAAGGATTTGGACAACAAGCCGACGGCCCGACACGCAGACCACCACTCTACACCCAGACACACCCAATCCCAAAAAGTTGTCTCGCGATCTAGGACCACGCCGAATCTGTCGCAGCCTCACACAAGGAGACTCATCGACCCCTTTGCCAAGGACGAGTTCAAGTCCGGCGGTCTGTTGGGCCAAGCGTATGAGGGGCGCAAACAGCAAGCAGAGAAGGCTGCTCTCACCGCAGATCATCAACAATATGCAGTCGAGAGTCCGTTTACTGGGGGGCACTCGCTGCTCAGCCAGTTCCCAGAACACGAAAATAACGGGATGCCGCAGAGAAGAGGCACGGTGCGTTCGTCTCGTCCCACGGCGACAGACCCCATGCCTCAGCCGCGGAGTCGATCACGGCCTCCCGCCGCACGTCCGACCACCTCATCACGTCCCAAGACATCAGATGGTGGGTCATCTTCAGGAAAACGAGAGATGCCGCAGCCTCTTGTCGACCTCACGCCCAAGGTGCCCGACTTACCCGCGGCCTGGCGAGACGGCCAAGGTCGCGGTGTACGTGTACCCACTGGAAAGCCCCTGATCGAGATGGCGACAGGCCTGGAACTACCAGACGGGCACCTAGGACCGCAGCTGCCAACCGTTACCCGCATGGGCACAGCAAAGGCGTACCCTCCCCAGCGCATGGCGTCACAGTCGGCCGCTTCAAGGCCGAGGAGTCGCTCCACAGCAGGCGGTGGTGCTGTACGTCGCGTGGTTTCCAACGAGCAGCAGCCACCCATGCCCTCTATGCCGAGACGATCGTCCAGAAGAGATGACGAAGACGTTCCGCTCATCAACTTTGTGGAACGCGAAAGGGGTCGCGATACGAGGCCTCGCATGTCGCAGGGCATGTCGCAGGGTCTCGGGCGAAGTGGTACCGTCAGGCACTGAAGGATGACGAGAGCGTATGGTGGCGCTCGGCTGAAGATTGAAAGCAGCCACCAAACGTTGTAAGACCAAGAGGAAGAAAAGAAGAGGGAGAGCGGATCTTGCAGTGGACGCGATTTGGGCGCATAGGGAGATGTCATTTAACATGTAAGATACCCGGATGTCGATGCGACTAGCATGTCGGTCTGCAACAAAAAGCTTTTGGAGAGGGAACCCAAGAAAAAGATGGCATGTTTTGTTTTGTCTAGTCATCTTGTCTACCTGACTAGGCCATCTTTCTAGTCAGGAACATTTTTTCCTTTGTTATCTCTTAATACGGAAACTATTTCTTCTTCACACTTTCTAACGGTTCTATTGTTTGAGTTGGTGTCATCATCGTCAATCAATTGGACTCTGGTATCTATCTTCTTTCTCTAATTGTTTTTCTTTTCACGGCTCCATTTGTGCCACATGCAGAGATCCATGATGCCCGCCAAACACAAACACGCGCCCCATCTGCATTAGTAACTATACTTTGTGGTTTTGAAAGTAGTTTATTTGGAGCGCTTGTAGATCTTGGCCAAGAAGATTTCAAAGATGCCCTTCTTGAGGCCCTCGCTCTCGTCAATGTTGTTGATCATCTCCTTAATCTCGCCGGCGCGCTTCTCCTCAAACTCCTCGAAGCGGCGCTTGAGCTCCATGTCGTCAAAGAGCTTCTTGATGACGGCCTCCTTGGCCTTGTCCTTTTGGCCGTAGTTGTCCTCGAGGATCTTGCGCTGCTCGGGGGTGGCGATGGCGAGGGCCTGGTTGACGAGCCAGCTGCACTTGTTGTCCATGATGTCGGTGCCGATCTTGCCAATGTGCTCGGGCAGGCCAAAGTTGTCGAGGTAGTCGTCCTGGATCTGGAAGTACTCGCCGAGGGGGATGAGGATGTCCTCTGCCTGCTTGAGGTTCTTGGGGGTGGCGATGTTGAGGCAGTGGAGGGCGAGGGCGACGGGGAGGTAGAAGGAGTAGTAGGCCGTCTTGTAGACGACGATGAAGCGGTACTTCTCCATGGAGAAGTTGTCGAGGTTGACCTTTTCCTCGGGGGCGGTGAGGAGGTCGCAGAGCTGGCCGAGCTCGGTCTGGAAGGTGACCTCGTGGAAGAGCTCGAGGAGGTCGACGTAGGAGGCGTGCTCGCGGAAGAACTTCTTGAGGAGGGTGTAGATGGCGGCCTCGAGCATGAAGGCGTCGTTGATGGCGACCATGCCGACGCCCTCGTGGCGGTACCAGCAGGGCTTGCCGCGGCGGGTGATGGAGCTGTCCATGATGTCGTCCGAGACGAGGAAGAAGGCCTGGAGGAGCTCCGTCATCCAGCCGAGGGTGGCGGCCTGGAAGTACTCTTCCTCGGAGAGGGGCTTGTCGAGGAGGAGGGAGACGGAGTCGGGGACCGACATGCCGCGGTTGCATTTTCCGCCGAGGGTGTTGATTTCGAGACTCTGGCGCACAGGAAAGCTGTTAATCTTTTGGTGTTCTTCTTCTCTGACAGGTTCCCCCTTTTTTCTATTGCCATTGAGAATGAGGAGGTCGCCCGCACAAATGCGCTCACACGCATAGCCTCATGCCAAATCATTTAGATAGTTGAGGAGTGTCGAGGGGTCGGTGTGGCTTAAATGCTTGCCTTCTTGTACCACGCCAGCTCCTCCTTGGGAAGCTTGTACTTTTCCGCATGCTCGAGGAGGACCTCCTCGAGCTTGGGGAAGACCGACTCGAACTCGGTGAGGGTAGTCTTCTTGGCCATCTTGTTCTGATTTTGCGGTGTGGTCTGAGGCCGGCTCGGCAGGGTGGCTGGATTGAACTAGGGGTTGCAACGGTCTTTTGGAGGCGTTCGAGGTTAGCGACGAGAGCGAAAACGGAGTGGAGGTATCGTGGGGAAGAGGGGAGAGAGAGGGAAAGGAAGAAGCAAGGAGACAAAGGTGGACGAACAATGGCAGCGCGAGTGAGAGGAAGAGGGAGACGGAGAGAGAGGTTGGTTGGGAAATTTACTTACTAGGCAAGTTTGCGATAGCAATCCGAAATTAATGCGCCCGCGTCAAATTAGAGCCAACTCGTACAAGATGAGAAAGAAAGTGTACCCCTCATCCGATCTTCAGTTGCTATTTTGGCAGGCGGTGGGGGGGCGATTTCCCAGACGGTCCCTGATGTTGCCGGGATAAGTGGGGTTTCGAGATGACAGGCGACCCACGACATCCAATTGACTTCCGCTCCCCAAGACCATGGCGGGGTCCCCATTACCTAAGCTCACCAAAGTTTACTGGATAGGCCACTGCGCACGCTGCGTTGCTCACCGTGGCGGTCAGGTACACCGTAGGTCACTTTAGCGTCGTCGCGCCCGTCGCGTGGTGGGAATCCTTGGGTGGACCGCTTCCTTTTCTGCCGTTAAGCTTTACTACGTCAGGACATGGAAACACAACATTCGCATCGCCAATTCCAGCAACCCTGCATCTCTGGATCTCGTCTTACAGCCCTCACTTTGCGCCTTGAAGCTGTAGACAGTGAACTCTAGAAGCGACTGTTCCGTACGTTAGCTAAAGGCGCTCAATCAGACGTTGCTTCGATTCACTTCCCTACGAATTGGAACCCGTGCGACGACAAGACGACCCAGCTCTTGGCCCCCTGGCCGAGGATGCGCAGAGATGTCTCTCAACGAGAATGAGCTGTCGCAGCTCCGCGAGTCTCTGCAGGATGCCGTCGTCAAATGCTCCGAGCGGTGCCTGTACTCCTCTGCGAAATGGCAAGTCCCTCGAGGACCCATTGCGAAAGAGACTCCACGGCTGACCTCGATCCCAGGGCCGCAGAGCTTCTCAACGCCATACCCGAGCCTTCGAACGACGCCGACCCCGCCGATACTGATGCCCAGTACATCCCGACGGTCTTCACCGTGAACGCCGACCCCGAGGAAGCCCTCCTCGAGGCCAGAGAGATCAACAAATACCTGCTGGCCAAGACCCTCTTCGACTCGAGGGAGTTTGACCGCTGCGCCGCCGTCTTCCTGCCCGATTCCGTACTATCCGGTGTTCTGAGCTCCAACGCAGATGCACCGCCGGGGGCGTCCAAGGGGAAGTCAAAGTCGAAGACGAAAGGGGACGCCGAGACGACGAGAACAGCCGGCGGCAGCAGCACTGAGCTGCCCCGGCTCAGTCAGAAGAGCTTGTTCCTCGCCTTGTACGCAAAGTTCATGTCCGGGGAGAAGCGCAAAGACGAGGATTCGGAGATGGTCATGGGACCTCAGGACCTGGGCAACATCGTCAATAAACAGTTGAATGCCGTCAGCCGGTTCCTCAGCAACTGGTTCGACGAGCGGACGACGGATGACGGGGATATCCTCGGCAGCCAGGGTTGGCTGGAATATCTGTGAGTGAGCGGCATATCCTCCTTCCCTCTCATTTCCTCGCGTACAGCTGCTTACCGTGGATAAGATACGGCATGGTTCTCGCAAAGGAGAAGAACGAGGACAAGGCGATGGATTACTTTGTGCGAAGTGTGCACCTGTACCCTATGAACTGGGGCTGCTGGCTGGAAATGACCCAACTCATCTCCCGGATAGACGATGTGAGTTTTTGGTTCTATCGATGTGTCCCAGGGGCCGGATGACGCTGACAAGTGCACAGCTGAGTCGAATTGCCGAGCACCTCCCGCAAAACATCCTCTCCTTCATCTGGCACCTCTACACCTCGCTCGAGCTCTACCAGGCTACACCCGAACTCGCCAACTCGTTGGACTCACTACTCGGAATCTTCCCAAACTCGTCCTTCCTTCTCACATGCAACGCCATGCTGTCATATCATTCAAAAGACCTCGTTGCTGCTGAACAACATTTCAGTCGATTGCTGTCACTCCACCCCCACCGACTAGAGTCACTAGATCACTACTCTAACATTCTTTACGTCATGAATCTGAGGCCAAAACTTGCGTTCCTCGCGCACCTTTGCTCAAGCATCGACAAGTTCCGACCAGAGTCTTGCGTGGTGGTGGGCAACTATTACTCACTTTTATCTATGCACGAAAAGGCAGTGCAGTATTTCCGCCGAGCGCTGACTCTTGACCGAACATGCCTGTCAGCATGGACACTTATGGGTCACGAGTACGTGGAGCTGAAGAACACCCACGCCGCAATAGAATCGTATCGACGCGCCGTCGATGTCAATCGCCGGGACTACCGAGCTTGGTACGGCCTTGGCCAGACGTACGAAATGTTGGAAATGCACACCTACAGTCTATGGTACTACAAAAAGGCAGCCGGGCTTAGGCCCTGGGATGGAAAGATGTGGCTTGCCGTTGGATCGTGTCTGCAGAAGATGGGGCGCGACCAGGACGGTATCAAGGCGCTGAAGAGAGCTTTGCTGGCAGACGCATACTACGATGTAGGAAGCAGCTTCGGAAGCGGAGGGGACTTGCTCAACGGCCGAGGCGCGACGGGTCATCTGGACCCGGAGCTGCTCTTCCAGATTGCAAGCATGTACGACCAGCTCGGCGAAGAGGAAGAATCAAAAGCCTACATGGAACTTTGTCTCGCTCAGGAGGGCGGGGAAGCCGCGGACAATGTCTTGAACGATTCGATCGCCATACACAACGACTCGCCAGGCGCATCTGACGACGAGGGTAACGGTGATGGTCGCAAGGAGGGCGGGAACGAGGGAACTGGTGTCACGGCATCGACGAGCAAAGCGCGGATGTGGCTCGCGAAGCACGCCATGCGGACGGCGGACTACAAGACGGCCAATCGACTGGGGACTGAATTGACACAAGATGGCTTCGAGGTCGAGGAGGCCAAGGCTTTGGTGAGAGAGGCTCGGGTGCGCATTAGAAATGCGGAATTGGGCATCAGTCCCTGAGTCCGGCATAAGCAAAGGCGGCACCGTGAATCGCCTTGGTTTCGAGGAATTGGGCATATAACAAGCGTACAATACGCCATGAGCGGGTGTTGGGACCACACATTTATGTCTACCAAGCGCTGACGGACAGATGAGGCGAAGAAAAGGGAATGCTGAGGGACTCGGCGTATGATGATTGTCCAAGTATCCAGGCGTAAAATAATGAGATACCACATGGCCTCGGGAACCTAGCACCTTGCGACTCTTCGAGTATCGTGAATTCCACTGGAGACCTAGGAACTGAGGCTTTCCCCGTGGGTGTAAGTGCAAGCGAGGCAGGTAGGTTTATACTTCCTCGCGCAATCGCGGATCCAAATCCGGCACGGGCCCGCGGCGCCGTTCCCGCCTCCACGTTTCCCCTTCCGCGTCTGACTTCCCTCGCTCATATAAAGACATCCAAATATCTTCATGGGCAGGCCACATAAACCCCCCCCTACCCATGCAACCCATGACGATTCGTCAAAGCCACGCATATGACCTTGGTTCACCGTATTAGACGTTAAACAAGGCGAGCGGGAAACAGATATACGAAATCTAGTAATCGAGAAAGAAGTCGGGCGGGAGGAGATCGGGTTGGGGGAATACGAGAACACCCACCCCCCCGCCAGCCCAATCCATCTTTAAACCCCTACCCTCCCACGATCACGATTACACGTGTACGCCAAAACGCCCGCTTTCGTACCTAGACGATTGATGTAAGCTTCTTCCCGTGGGCTACGAACCACGTGCTTGGCTCGTTTTTGCCGGGGGTGGTGCGGAATACGAAGAGCGTGCATGAGCGGGGGGTTAGGAAAGACCACTGGATTATTCATCACCCCCCCATTTCGCCCATCGTCATCGCAGACTACACGGTACGGCCGCCATCTTTTTTATGCTTCTCACTGGCGCAGCAGAGATTCTGCCTTTTCCGCGCGGGTGACTTTGTTTGCTGGAGAAGCTTCTTTTTTTGTGTGGGTGTATGTGGTCCCGCGGTCTGCTTTCGGTCGGGGCCACGAGCGTAGTTGGATACCTTGGGTAGCTTGTGGTGTGAGGGTGAGTTGTATATGCGGTCAGCTGCGAGAGGTTTTGAATTATTGATTCTTGGCGGACGTGAAGAGCTGCATTGTTCACTGCAGCGGCTCTTATCATGTCGTTCCCTTATCGACCTATCACCTATCGAGGGGGGAAAATCGAACTTTGAGGTATGCTTTCTTGTAAGGATTGTTTCTAGTGATGTGCTCACATGTTTGAGCACTTCCACTCTCTGAACTATGATTATCATTATTTTTCGTAAGGACTGTATGTAACCCAATATGGCAAAACATTCCCTGATACTCCCCACAGATAACCGCCGTTGTGTCCCAAACTTCAAAAGTTGCCATAGGGTATCGCAATAAAAAGCAAAGATGATTATCCGGTGTGTTCACCTCTTCCAACTTTTGCCGGCCGTAAATGAAAGTGATGAAAGTTAAAAGCCAATTCGTCAGACTTATCCACTCCCCAAGTCTGTTCAGTCGGATCAAACCAGGAGAGCGAGTAGGACAGCACCCAAAGCCGCGCCGGCACCAGCTTCAACCATACCAGCCGCGTTCGCGGGAACCGTGACGGGCCTGGTGGTCGTTGGCCCGACAGGTGTATTGGTGGGGAGGTTGGTGACGGGAGTGACGGGGGTAACAGGGGTAGTGCTGGCGATGATGGTCTCGGCGGGCGGTGTGATTACAACAACGACAGTCGAGGTGCTGTTGGGGTGGGGGTGGTGATGCTCGCTCGTGGGTTTGGGCGGCTTGGGCGTCTCCTCCGAGTGAGTCGGGTGCTCCGTAGGCTTGGGAGGTTTGGGCGTGTGCTCGATGACGGTGGTGTTGTGGTAGGTCGGCTTGGGAGGCGGGGTATGCTTGGTGGTCTTGATCGTCTTGATCGTCGTGCTAGTGATCTCTGGCGGGCAAGAAGTGGTGTTGACGACGGGCGGCGGGTAAATCGTCTTGGTTGTGGTGTATGGAGGGGGTTGTCTGGTAGTGATAGTGCAAGGACAGTCTGTTCTTATGTCAGTACGGCAGCAAAGCATAAGTCGATCGAGGCTCGTCAACTTACTCGTGATGGTAATTGTCGTTGCCGTGGACGCCGTGTAAGTCACGTTGTGATGAACAAAGGTAGTAGGCGACTTGCTTCATGTCAGCTTCGCATTCTGGTCTCTTGCATCAAGTCTTCGCTTTTCAGAAAACTTACAGGACAGTATGTCTCATAGGCTGTGGTCACCACAGTCGTGTAAGCGGTGCTGATATCAGTCCCCCAAGCCTGCGCATAGGCTGCGAGCCCCGCTACAGACAACAGCTGGATGGACTTCATCGTAGATTGGAAGCGAGTGTCTCTGATTCAAGCGAAGGTGTTTTTGCCAAAGGCACGCTGCAAGTTGAGCAAAGGTGATGGGCGGATGTGTGAGGTTTAAACGATGGTATTCAGAACGATACAATATAGCCAAGCCAGGCGATCGCTCTCCTTATGTATCGCGGGGGCGGGGTTATTTCTGCGTGAATAGATTCATCGTGCAGAAGAATGCTTTGGAACCGGTGCTTACACGGCATGGGATGTTTGCCTCGCCGTGAAAACGATGTTGCCGGGCATCGCCGCCCTTGCCCAGTCGGGCGTATCGTTGCCCGCCTTCCAACCCCGAATTTGGTCCTTTGCGTCTCGGTTCTGATGGGCAGCTGGTACTGATGACTGTACGCACCTTGTAGGTGGCGCGCATCGCCGTGCCAGATGTGGCCATGAGGCAGGAATGTGACTCCGTCCCGGCAAGGTAGACGACGAAGATACGAGAAAGTCTTGCCCTGTCATGCTTGGTCGGGAATGGCGCCATTGCTTTGGCTAGCAGAACAGCAGAGATGGGTTGAGGGTTTGGTTCTCGACCTTATCCTCCTATTGGGCCGGTCACTTTATTGAAATCGTTTTGGGCAATTGCTTATGCGATGGTAGGGGTCTAGCGGTGACAGCTCGTGTCATCAACCACAATTGCCTCCAGTTTTGGATACGCATCGTGAAAGCCCGGCTGGAAAATGTCTACTTATTCGACGCCAGAAGCGAAGCATCTTATCAAAGAAAGGTGCAGAATATGAGTCTTCACTGAAAAACGTTGCCTCGTGTTCGCCTCTGTAGCCTGGCCGCAAATACTATGCTGCTCACTAAGTTGCCAATAATACATTCATCTTCGGCCGACGGTTTCGGCTGGTTGAACAAATCGCCTCGTGATTTGACTGAGGCCAATTGAACAGATGAAGACGACTCAGGAGATGAGGCTATATTTGACGCCTTGGAATGTATGAGAAACTCTAAACAGACGAGCTAACCGACATGGCGAAAACGCGAAAGAAGACCACCACCAGCGCTTGCATAGTTGGCTTTCTGAGCAGTCCAGCAGATGGCTAGCACTTGTAGCCGACTTCTTAGAGGAGTTCTCGAAGTGCTCCTTCAGTGCGAGCTACGCCTCCAGGTATATTTCGAATATCCTGGTGTATCTGAACAAGCCGTGATTGAGGCTAGACAGAACGGCCGACTTGCAGTCAGATCCTCGCAATTCCGTGCGAAGGAAGAGAAGAGAGAACAATGATAAGAAAAGTATGAGAGATGGATGCGCAAGTGCTAGAGTCAGCGCACCACAGCTTCCATGTCCTCTTTAGGCAGCGCCTGTTGTCGCTGAAGCTGCGGAAGCAAACCCACTTGGCATGCAGATTATCACATCGCGTTACGATGGTGTTTGTATGTAGATCAGTCTCGCGCGCCGGTCTCCGGATGAGCAGAGTCGAGCATCAATATCAGCCAAAAACCGGCCCTAATAACGACAGCCGGGTAAATTCATGCTTCAGGTTGGATGGAATCGGTGTCCGCAAGACGCGCCTCAACAGATCCAAGTGATCGTGCAGCTATCAGAGCAGCAGCAGGCGAACCTGGTACTCGCCAGTTCCATAGTGAGAGTGCCAACGTTCCTGCAGACTTGGTTGAGAGATGGCCACCTGAAGCAGGGAAGTGCCCCTCCACCCAAACAGTTACAATCTTGCGGGGAGTCCTGCTGTCAAAGTTGGCCTCTGTCACGTTCTCGCGTCAAGGTTCAGGGTTCATGGTGTTAACGGTCGTTGGCGCCAAGTTTCTTCTTCGCAAGTAGAGAACAGTTTCGGGTTTAACGGAGTGGCACCGGACAGACCTCGGTCGCGAAGTTCTTCGCCGTTGCGACACCGGTGACGCGCGCGGTGGACAGGCGGGTGGGCAAGACATCCACAACCAAGAAGACCTGGCGTGAAAGGTTTTCTTCCTCGGCAGTTCGTGCGGTTGGAGTGATGATTGCGAGCACTTCTTGGTATCCGTAGATGACAAACTGGGATCGGTTGTGAGAATAGCTTGCGGGGGAAGAGGAGCTTTAGAGCCAACATAGGGCAGAGGGCGGGGGATTTGATGGGCACAATGAGGTCACAGCTCGTCGCCCGCCTCGTCTTCGTAACGATAAAAAGCTTTCCGGCAAGGTCTTGTGACACTGAATCCGCTTCCAAGGCTGAGTGGATAGGTGGTGATGTTGCTTGGGGGCTGCTGCTGGGACAATCCGAGGCCAAGAAACCAGATTGCGGTGTTCCACCGACAGAACCGCAACGAGGATCCGGTGGAGAAGGATTCTGGCGATGATGGTGTGAGGGAATTCCGACATCAGATGTCCAAGGCCAGAAGCCAGTTAGAAGCTGGCTGAGAAATCAGTTGGCAAGCCAAGGCGCAAACGGAAGGTAAAGCAAGGTGAAGAGTCTTTCGAGACTGGAGAAATAACTGGGATGCGCTAGAGCAAGAGGTACCTTGCTGTCGGAGACGAGGGTTCCAACTTCCGTCTCGGTGCCGTGGTACTTTGGCGTAACCGAGTTCCGTCCCATCGACGGTTCCTGCATTGGACAGAACTTTGCTGAAAATGGGCCCGCCGGAGCCCCGTCTTCGAACGGACCTTCCTTCCGTTTAGGGTTGGCTTGGCATCTGACGGTTGGTGCAGCGAGATACGTACCGATTACCAAGCATGCGGCCTGCGCTCCGGCTTCCATGAACTGCATAAGGTAGCCCAAGGCTCGATTACCTTACACCGGTGACAGTACCTTACCTACCTAGGTACCTAGTGTACTCAGTCGTGGCAGTCGAGACTGGAGTAGTTTTCAGTGTTGGCAGCCACGACTTCACGAGCCGTTGCTGCAGCCTGCAGGCTCTTCATCACAAGTACGTACTGTGCAGTATTCCTTCCGCGGTGACTGCCCTAGGTGCGAACTGTCCGGAAAGTGAGCGATGATCAGTGGAACCGGCTGCGGTCGAGAACGTCCCCGTCCCAATGATCATCCCAACGGGCCGCCAAGGATATGCGACATGCCAATGCAACCATTACAGACGAGCCCAGACAATGGAAACAATAGGCAGCGGCACCGAGCAGCAAAAGCTTGCTTCATTGTTGCTTACCACTCGGCCGTGGTATCCCAGGAGCAAGCACGTGTGTCTGTTACTGCCCGAGACCAAGTCGGGGAAAGATGCTCCAGTGGGTAGACAACACAGACGAGCAACCGATCTGACGGTAAAAAGAGATTTGCAGTACATCTCTCACCTTAACCTACACCTTAGATATCACCTTAAACTGCCTCCTTGCTACACTACCTTGTAGTCCCCAGCCTTATACTCGGTAAGCTACGCGGTATGGGCAATTGTTCAGTCCAATTATTCAATATTGGCTGTTGCGAATTGGCAATTTCTTTGCACCCTTCTTCTTCTGCTTCATGTGTCTCCTTGTATTGTGTACCTCGGTACTATTAGTCAACAAGGTCCATGGCTGAATGGATAACTCGGCGATACTTGAGTCGTCAACTGCAGTCGCAAGTCGCGACATGTTGGTGGCGTTGAGCCTACGCAGTAGGCTGCGTTGCCCTGCAGGCCTGAGGCACTACAGATGACTCAGGCTGAGGCAGAAACCAATTATCGGAAAGAAACTTTTGAAAAAAATCAGAAAGTTCCAATTGATTGAACCTGATAGTTCAGGCCATCGAAATATGCAGGCACTGACAGCATGTGCGCGGCACTGCGTGAATAAACTTGTTCATGGCAGGTGAGGAGCGCCGAGAGAGGAGGGGGCAGACCGCAGACGTCGGGGCAGTGTCCGGGGACCTCCGCCTGGTACAGGGAACTGCCAACATGTTGGGATCTTGTTAGTAACAGAGGCGAAGCTGTCGTATTCTATCTATCACCTCGACGACCTTTGCGCAGTCCCCAGTACGGCCTCATCCACAGTGCACGGGACACCACACACTCGGGCTGTGATCGACAGGTACAACCCACTTTCCTTCCCCCTTCGGCCATGCTCCATCACACCCTCCTTGCGGCTTTGCCCTGACATCTTGTTCCTGGTGCCAACTTCACAAGTTCACACCAGCGGTCCAGGTCAACAACCTTGGTCTGAACCTTGCTCCCCGATTCGCTCACAAAGCTCAGAGCCTCCAGTCTGGCCGTCTCTTCCTTGAAGTTTCTTCCCCCCTCTTCCCCTCCTGGATACTCTCGGATGTACCTCGCCAAGCCCTTCTGGCCAGCAACGATTCCTCGCCGATGGGGTCTGCCAGGGCACAGAGAGGCATTTTCCGGCGTCGTGGCATCGCCTCCGTCACAGGAGCCTGAAGGATTGCCAACCGAGATGGTTGTCGTCCAACGACTGATGCCGTCGTGTTTTCTTTTTCCTTGCTGAGTGAGCCTTGGCCTCTGTGCTGTCTGCTCCAGTGAGCGCTCTGGTCTCCCATCCCCGGAAACGCCTGCGTTGCCAGCGAGGCCGTCATCTCATCTTTACAAACGTTGGCTCAAGTCGTTGCTGTCGTCTGGTTCCTTGGTCCATCACCTGCATTTCATCACATTGATCGGCCGTTCCTGTCACTCTCTAGTACAGATGAACCGGTGCGGCGGGAGCTCAAGCCACGCGCTGCCGTCTCGGCGTTCACCCAAAAGGCATAGCCAGCACGGCTCTCCCGCGCACTCCCTCCCAACTTCCGTCCGGCTGCGTAACCCGGCGTCCCATGACAGGGGGGTTCACTCGGTACTGGCCGGCACATTTTGCCCAGTCTTCTCACCAGTCCGTGGCTCGACTAGGGGCCAGAGCTTTAGGGCCAAGGGGGAGGGGGGGAGAGGGGGCTGCTCCGAGTATGTACCTATTCGAGGGAAAGCCCCCGTCATGAGCCGAAATGGCCTTGACCGGCTACGAATCATGAGCCGCGGCGCTAATTTGTGTGCTGGAGCGCCGGGTTGCCTCGAATCGCGCGTTTCTACCACTTGTTCTCTCCAACCTGTCAGGGTACGCCACGCGGAGAGGTCTCCTAGTGTCAGGTACCAGGCACAATCAGCAGCCAACCGGCCAATAACACTCTTCAACAGACTTTTGGAAAGCTGACGCACATGCAGGATGGGAAAAAAACAAAAACCGCACCAAGGGCTGACGTCCGCGGTTCCTTTTGCCAGCACGCACTCGCAGCCTGCAGACGTCGGTGTACCGAAATACATACGCCTTGTCCCTCGTCACCCTGGCACGCCTGGCCCCCGAAATCCCTCGACAGCCTACTCTGCTGCCCAGTCCGTGGGTGTTTCTTTGGCGCCAGGTACCCGCACACACTGCCGCGTCGATTCCGTGCTCCTGCCGCACAGCCAACTCCCGACGGAGGGCGCCCTGACGCTAGAAACGAAAAGGAACTCTAGACACAGCCTGGAACTCCAGGAATAGGCGCAAACACTGGAAATAAGTCTGACAGGACGGAGATCTATTAGAGATGTTCCTTGAAAACAATCTTGGGTGGGCTTCCCCTGTTCCAGCTCCAGACGATCCATGAACCACTCGTCTACTACAGTCTACGTCGAGTATACTGCGCAGGTCCAGTACACTATTACTCCACGACACCGTTGTGTTCAAACCTTGTCTAGTGCCTTCGAGCCGAAAAGGATGGTAGACGTTCTGGTACCTATGCGACACCGTGCTGGTCCAGACCGAAAACTCTGAGCTTGGTGAGGCCATTAATTCCTCAGACACGTCCAATCATGGTTGACAAGTTACAACGACTTGTACAAGTTACAATCATGGCGCCCAAGCATCCTAGCCCACTCTCCGATGGAGGCTACTCCATGTAACTCTGGGAAACACCCTCGGGCTGAAGTCTCCACCGCGGTATTCAAACGTTCCCACCCGTGGACGTCCTTGTTGACTCCTTGACGCCTCCGGCTCCGCTCCCCACTGCCATCTCATGAGCAAGTCCTTTTCAGGCTTTTCTCCCACATCCTTCTGACATGTGTATAAGTATGGTCCAGTTCCCACGAGGCCTTCCCTTTCCCCGGTTTTGATTCCCCATCCCGCATCACTATCCTTCCTGTGGCCGAGCCTCACACTTTGTCTTTTCAGACAGCAGCATTCATTTCACATACACACGAAGCTTTTCACTCCTTTGAAAGCTTTCATCCACTCAACGGCCCCGGTCCGTTCAGAATCAAACTCACAAACCAAGCTCGAGTCCATCACCACAACACCCATCAAGGGCAACTCAGTTCTCAAGATTTAGCTAGACGCTTATCCTAGAACCATCTTCAAACCATCTTGAACCTGTACAACCGTTGTTGACAACGTTTACGGGACTCTTTCAAACAACTCACATTCAACTCACCGAACCACGCTCCGGCACTTACACACTCTCACAAACAAATCCCCTTTCCACAACTCAAAATGCAGTTCAACCTTCTCACCCTCCTCGGCTCGGCCGCTCTCGTTGCCGCCAACACCGTCACCTTCAAGTCTCTGGACGACGTTTCCCGCACCGTCCACTTCACCCCCAACTCCGGTCTCGCCTCTGTTGACTCCGTCGAGGTCCCCGCCGGCGGCGAGGTCAAGGTCAACATCCCCACCTCCTGGATCGGCAACTGGTACTCCGTCTCTGAGGGCTCTGAGAATGTCGCCGGTATGCTCGGCGAGGTTGCCTTCAACGGCTGGAACGGCCTGACCTACTTTGATGTCTCCGCCATTGTCAACCCCAACGACCACAACGGCGTCAAGAAGATGTGGCCCGCCAGCGGCGATGAGCCCGTCTCCGGCTGCGACTGGTGGCCCTGCAACAACGCCTACTACCTCCCCGACGATGTTCAGACCAAGGTCACCTCCGAGACCGACCTCATCTGCACCCTGGGCAACAACGGCGTCACCTCTCGCCGCGACATTGACGACCACCACGAGTCCCCCAACTACAAGCGTGACTTTGTCATCAGCAACTAAGCTTTCTCTTCGGGAACACAAAAACCGATCTTTGCCTTCCTTTCTTGGCTACGTTTAGAAGAAGAGGAGTTTTGGCCGCGGCGTCGATGAATAGTCATCGGCTAACCGCGCGCGCTCGCGCTGTGCGCTTACGACTTTATGACCCCTAACAATGACAACGGACTCTTCTTTTACAGAAGACCTCCAACATCATCTGTTATTTTCAATTGCAAAAAAAGAGATACCCCATCACAAGAAGCGCGGCTACGCGTGTGGGCTTAGCGGGGGATCAGGGGAGGTCAAGTTTCTTTGGGATATAGAGTCATTTTTTTGGAAACCCTTTTCAACCCGGGGCGTACGGTCAAACAGAGAGAACGGAGCAATTGGAGCAATCTAGGCGTTTCCCCTCTATTTTCCCCCGCGAGAGAGACCTATCTCGTCTTCGATATCTCATCCATTCACGAAAGATGAGGTCTCGTGGCCAGGTCTCGTTCTTGTCTGGCTTCACTTACACAACTTTTTGGGGTAACTCATCCCTCACCAGTTGTGGAGGCCGACAAAACTATTCTAGTCGCTCCTTCAGACACACGTTTAGAAATCTTTCTTGTTTGTTGTACAACCAACAACAACAGTTTCTTGTATTTACTAGGGCAGAGAGTTCCGCCAGAAAGAAAAACAAATCAAAAACGTTTGAGCGTCAAGTAAGAACAAAAATAAAACATTGTGACCGTTACCAACCGCGCCAACTTTTGCCAACCTAATTACCTAGTTGCTGTTTTTTTGTCAGTTGCCCGGTTGGAGAACCCCCTAGTCTACTATCCCGGCCCCCGGGCCCTCCTCCGTCTTCATTATGAGCTGAAATGAAGGGGTGTTAGTTCTAGCCGGGGTCGGCGCTGGGATGGCATGTCTGTTAACGAGTAGCAAGTCCGTGCCATAGAATAACTTGTTTTTATTCCCTTTCCTAAAGAACAACATGACTCCCTTTGGAAAACAAGGTACGCTATGCACGGAAGCAATCTGAGCCATTTCATATCGTCCCCTCGAATGGAACCTGAAATACTTCGTTACGCCGGAGAGGAAGTGGGAAGCACTACTCTATGCAGCAAAGAGAGGGAGCATGTTTGGCTGGTAAGAAAAAAGCAAAGTAACATGCAAGTTTTTCCAACGTCCAAAGAACCGAGACATTGCCCCCTTGAAGGAATACAACATCCGTCCAATCCCCCGTCCGACATGTGCATATCGGCACGGTTTTTTGTTTCTTTGCTTTTTCCCCCACTCCCTGGCTGCTGTTCTTGTTTCCGTCCCGTGTCTTGGGATGAACCCAAACAGGTAGAAAACGGCTGGTGGCCCACGGGCCATCGGCACCCCAAGTTTCCCAAGTCTCAACGGGCGCTGGCGCGCGTGCCCACCCCATCCGACCCCTGGGGCTAACGCTCTGCGTTTCAAGACACGCGCAACGTCGCACCACTCATGACCTCTATTTCGTAACCCTCACATCCTGGTTTCAAGGCTGGGGGTGTTGAGAAGAAACATACATAGGTACTGGTAGTATTCAGTGATGGGGGATGGAGGCAGAGTGAGACGACGTGGCCCAGCCCGCCCAAAGGGGGGTTCTGTTGGTCTCGTTTGGAAACAAAGACGACTACGAATCGGAGACTCATGCGATGGGGGCTGAATGGCCCCCAAAAAGGCAACGTCAGCACAGCTGCCAAAGCCACCTTTGATATTCGTCATCCGACAGCCCACTCGTTGATCTTCCGATACAAGACCCCCCAAGACCAGGAGAAGGAAATTGAAAAAAAAGGGGATGTATTCTCCTTTCGGCTATATGAAGCCTTGACACGTGAGGGAGAGACGCAGACACTGTCAACCGGCTAGTCGGTTCCTTTTTCTAAACCTGAGGGTCTGATTTTTTCGGAAGGGGGGCTGATTTCTCTCTCCTGCCATGTTCTTCGACCTTTGAAGGTACAAGACGTGGATAGATGGAACCCGTCGTCTTCCAAGGTCGGCAAAAGTTTACAGCTTTACTACTGTGGACAGGCAGAAGAGGGTACTTCAGTCGAGTTCTGGGACTACACAATTGCTCAAAATCCCATTTGAGGGCAGGCATGAGACGTGCTGTAGACACGACCGACCAACCGGCTGATCGGTTCCGTTTCCCAAACCTCTGGGTGAAAGCCCTCTGCCCCCTCTCTCTCACGCTTGAAAAGATCGCACAATAGTCACTATACTTACTCCTGCGACGACGCGCAAGCAGTTCTCCAGCTAGCTAGCTAGCTCGGATCGACAAGAAACGCATTCTTTTATCTAGCCCTGCAGCGTTCGTGCTCCCCCGGGCAGAACTCCCCCTCTGACATATCTTGACATGTGTAACCTACGGGCCGAGAAGGGGAGGGCGGGATTGGAAGGGTTTGGGTGTAAAGGGGTGACACACACACGCACACACGCATGACAAGACAGCCCTGGTGAGGACGTACAAACTTCCATTTGACAGCATTTCTTCTTTGAACCCCGCGGTACCTGTTACAAGGGGGGGAACCTCTCTTCCCCTCCCGAGACTGTATTGCGCCCCTTGAACCCGCCACTGCTCTCAAGCAACCTACAAACATCACGGTGCCTGCTTAGTCTCCTCCTCTCCTGCCCCTGACGGCGGCGACTCCGTCTTACCCGAGTCATCCGCACTCTGCCGGCTCTCCGGCTCAGCAGTCGAGTTCCTGGCCGACACCGTCGTCTCCGATCCCCCGTCCGCCGCCGCCGCCTGCTTCTCCGGCGGCGGTGACGCGACGGTGCTCTTGATTTCCTTGGCGTTGATGAAGCTCTTCAAGTACTCGCCCGCGTCTCCGAACCCGTCGAGCTTACCTAGCTTCGTGATGAAGAAATCCACGTCCCGGAGCATGCTATCAATGTCGTTGTTAGCAATTGTCTTTGTCTCAAGGTAGGGGAGCGCAAGAAACGCACCTATCGCGACCGATGGCCGTCTTCGGATCTGCCACCTCAAAGACCCTACCAAACTGGTCCTTGTAACTTGAGAATACAGGTCCCATGATGAGCTGTACCGAGGTCTCGGGTAGGTGCTTGGTCAGCACGCGGTGTAGGGTCGTGGTTTCCTTGGCCAACGTCTCCATGTACGGATGGGTCGACTGGCTGCCGTCGTGGTCCCAGTCGATTGCTCTCATGGATTTTGAATGCTGTGCCGCGCGGCCGCTCATGATCTCGACCAACTTGTCGTATATGCTGTTCTGATGCTCTTGGAAAAGGCGCCTAACCTTATCGAATTCTCCCATCAGGCTAGAGACACTGGCTCCAGAGCCGGCGTGGCGTCGCACAAACTCCCGAATGTGGGGTATCAGTGTTGCAATGAACGACAGAGCCTGAGATGCCAATGCCAAATGCCTGGTCGTAATGTTTTTGAGACCGGCAGACCGAGTGGCACCTGCACCCAGAATGAGCTGGGTACAGCGGGAGTTGAAGAGCTGCAGATAGCCAATAAGGGAACTGGCGACGTCGATTGCCATGGACGGAATACTGCCGATGAGATGCATGAAGTGCGAGATGCCTTCGAGACCAAGTATGGCAGAATTGGGGAGCAAGAAAGTCTCGCTTTCAATCTCTGCGACACGCGCCTTCTCTTTACCACTGGTGCCGTTCGTCTCGGGAGGCGGTGCTGCGCTTCCATTCGACACAACCTCGTCCGGATTCTCTTCCCAGATCTTCGTCCCTTCCGACCACGCCGCAGCATCCTTGGTACTACTTTCGAGGACCTGGTCAAGTAAAGCCTTATTCTTCTCATCAAAATCTTTGGCGCTCCATTGGTCGGATTCCATGCCTTGAGCAAGCTTCTGCTTCTCTGCGTCGCCATGTTGCTGTACAAATTCCTTGATATGGCCATTGACCAACGTCTTGAGTGCCGTGCCACTACGTCCTGAGAGCGCTTCGCATTCGTTGGCGAAGAATAGGTTGAGAGTGAAGTAGCGAAGGAACCAGGATAGGCTGAGATGCGTGCTCTGCTCCGATCGGACTTTCAAGACCCTGACAATCTTATCCTGCGCAACATCGACGGCCTGTCCGACCAGGTTGGCAATATCCATTGCCTTGTGAATCTCTTCTTGGACCTCGAAACTCGGAGACTCGTCGAATCGAGGAAACTCCCGGTCGAAAGGTGTAGGGCTCGCGAGCGGGGAGCGAATCGGTGGCGACTTCAGACCAGCTGCTGTGGCTTCCTCTGTCAGGCAGCTTGCAATATCGAGAAGAACCTTAACCTGGGTAGTCAACCGTCGGAGGGTTTCGGTAACGCCAATGTATATCGACTTGAGTAAGTCCTCTGCATCCTTTGGGTCCAGTGCCCTCAGGTTCCTAGACAAAATGGACGACTTTTCCTGATTCGAGAGATGTTTTCCGCCGCTCATGGTCGAGGCGGACATCATGGACTCGTTATCGTCATCGTTGGAGCTAGGTAGCGGTCTCCTGATGAGATTTTTTATCTCACGTAGAACAATCTCCCGATATGCTGCGATCGCAGCGGATATGTGGTGAGCTCTGTGCAGCCCATGAAGATTGGGCATGATGGCTTTGCGCAGTTCTTGTGTAGAGGCAAGATAGGCTGGTGGGCCGGCAGACTCCCTTGAGGCGCCCCCCCTTGCCCGCAGTGATGAGCTGCCCCAGCGAAGAAGGACTTCCCGACTTTGGACCGACTCAACGTGCCTCCGGAGATCAGCTAGTAACAAGCTCTGGAACTTGGTCTCGTAAGCTTTTCCAATTCGAGACCGGAGCTGTTGAAGGTCGTCATTGACGCTCTGCAGAGCCGTCGCTCCCCTAAGATCCCTCATCCGTGCCAGTGGTAGTATTGGAGGTTCAGCCTCGGGCGAATCGTCGTGCTCACCAGCTATCAGAAGCTCGAGCGTGTCAATATTACTCAAAGCCTTGTCAACCTCGCCAGCATCTACCAGCGCCTCGCACGATGCAACACCCTCAACGATATGTTTCAGTTGGAGAACCGCATCATTGAGAGCCTGCACGTTTTCTCTCCGCCGGCGCTTCTGAACGATGTTCAGACCCTTGGTGGCAATCTCCTCGTCTAGAGCTTCGAGTTCCTTACGGAGCGCCTTGATCCGATCGACCGACTCTGCGGCTTCCGAATGAAGCTCCCGCAACGAGCCAAGAGCTGTAAAAAATGTCGTCGACGCTGTAGAAATAGAGTTGATCAAATGAACCTCGATTGTATCCATGTACCAGGAGAGTTTCTCCTGTAAAATGGCGTTGGTGGCCAAGGCCTTTCGCGGTGCTACAATATTGCCATTGCCATCATTTTTGCTGTCTACGCTCCCCGGTGCAGGCGGAACGACCTCTGACCTCTCACTGACTACATCGAAAGTCCTTGGGTTCTCTAAATGAAAGTCATCGTCAAAGTATACGTTGGGTATCGTCGACAATGGAGGCGGACCATGCGCGCCCTTTCTACTGTAGCCTGAACTGGATCGTCGCAAAAGACCTGGGCCTTCGAGAGAGGAGATGGACGTTATTGATGCAATGGAAGATTTCCGCCTCGAGGGCTGCCGGCCTGCGGGTTTAAGATGACTCTCATCGATGGAGTCCCCAAACTCGTCGTGTTTGCTTGACCGACGACCTGAGGAACCAGGCCTGTCATCGTCTTGTTCCTTGACTCGCCGAAGCTGTTCGTATAGGGCGCCGACTTGCGACAAGTACGGCTTGAACTCGGCCGGGTCGATGTGCGGAATGTTCGTTAAAGTGACAGGAGGAATATCTCGAGCAGTAGGAGGCTTGTGCGCGCTGGACGCAGGAGCAGAAGTATGAGGCTGCAGGCCCGTCCGAACGATGGGCGGTTGCAGTAAGGTCGAAATAGCTGGGGACTTGTCAGCACGCTCAGTAGCATCTCCAGCTCATCAGTAATACCGTTTTGACCAGATTCCAGCACCGCATTTGCCCAGGTACTGGATGAAGTATCGAGGGACCCCCCTATCGAGTGTATGGAGCTCGCATTCGAGCCTCGTCTCGCGGTATTGTAAGTGTGAGCGTGTCCTTGTCTTGCTGCTGTTAGCGCAACCGTGGCCACCGAGGGGCCGGGCAAAAGTAACCAACTTGTGGAACGGGAACTCGGTGCGCGTGGCCGGAGGAGACATGGAAGAAATGGTGTCCATGGACTTGCGGGCGCCTGGAGAGGAATACATGGTGTGAGGCAATGGCTCTGAACACGAGCTGCTCAACGCTGATGTTTGGACCTCGATCGTTTGCTGAGAGTCGCAGGGAAAGCCGACAAATAGATAGGTCGACGGCCACGTAGCCTGACTACCGGGGTATCATTGCTGGGAGGTTCTCATCGAATAGGGAAGTTCAAGAAAGATGGCTAGCAATAATTATCACTGATCAAGGACAAGTCTGAAGAAACGACAGATTACAGCTGGTCTTTGCGCATGCTTCACCATGCTGAGCCACGTTCCCGAGAGGTAGCGTACACTCAAGGACCCCCCTAAGGTACCCACATAATAGGTACTAGTGCTGTCTGGGGAATGCTGCTGATATATCACGTGGGGATAAGATAAGACCGAAGGTCACCTTATCTGCAAGCAGCGGTACGTACCTCACTTACCCAGGTATAAGGGACTTCGAAAACGCGCTAATAAACCACTTTACGCGTCCGGTAAAGGGGGCGCGTTCAGTCGAATTTGGTTCCCCTGCGCAACCCAGAGCCCCTCCTTCCATCCACATTTGCAGTCTCAATCCTCAACATTGCTTCGTGAACAACCACAACTCAGCACCAAGCGCTACCATGGACAGGCAATCAGTCTACTCGTCACACGTCTTCCCGGCGACGTTCGATCAGAACGATGACAGCAGGGTTCAGACCCAGACCCAACTAGAGAACTTCATCCTCCACTTCAGACACGACAATGACTACATCTACAGGTCCGTCAACTGCTCCAGGGGTGCCTTTTGGCTTTGTCGCATTACTTACAATTTGGTATAGAAATCAACTCAAGGAGAATGCGCTTCTCAAAAAGCACTACTGCGATGTCGATATCAGCGATCTCATCAACTACAACGAGGAACTCGCACATAGACTCGTGACAGAGCCCGCCGAAATCATTCCTTTGGTAGGCCTCCATCGTGCTACTCGAGCTCTAGCACTATACTGACCTCGCCGTGAATAGTTCGAGGCTGCTCTCAAGAAGTGTACCCACCGCATCGTATATCCTCAACTGACGAAGGTCGACCTCCCGGAACATCAGCTCCTGCTCCACTCCAACGCTGAGGATGTCTCTATCCGCAACCTAGATTCCATGACAATCTCGCGTCTCGTTCGAGTGCCGGGTATTGTCATTGGTGCCTCTGTCATGTCTTCCAAAGCCACGTCGCTGTCTATTCAATGCCGTAATTGCGCCCATACCGCGAATCTGCCTGTCCTAGGAGGATTTACCGGCGTCACCCTCCCAAGGCAATGTGGCAGACAGAGAATACCCAACGACCCCACACCAAAATGCCCTCTCGATCCATACTTTGTGTCACACGAGAAGTCGAAGTTCGTCGACCAGCAAATCATCAAACTACAAGAGGCTCCGGATCAGGTTCCCGTTGGTGAACTCCCGAGACATGTCCTGATTTCAGCAGATCGTTATCTGACCAATCGCGTCGTTCCGGGTTCGAGATGTACGGTTATGGGCATCTTCTCCATCTACCAGAACAAGGCAACCAAAAACTCAAACACTGGTGGCGCGGTCGCTATCCGGACGCCGTACCTGCGGGCGGTAGGCATCCAGACCGACATGGACCAGACCGCACGTGGCCAGGCTCTCTTCTCTGACGAGGAAGAGCAAGAGTTCCTCGAGATGAGCAGGCGGCCCGATCTGTACAACATCATGGCAGACTGTATAGCGCCATCAATCTATGGAAACGTAGATATCAAGAAGGCTATTCTGTGTTTGCTTCTTGGCGGCTCAAAGAAGATTCTACCCGACGGCATGAAACTCCGTGGAGACATCAACGTCCTTCTGCTTGGTGATCCTGGTACCGCCAAGTCACAGCTTTTGAAGTTTGTGGAGAAGTGTGCGCCAATTGCCATCTACACATCGGGAAAGGGCTCTTCAGCGGCTGGTCTTACAGCGTCGGTGCAGCGTGATTCCTCAACTCGCGAGTTCTATCTCGAGGGAGGTGCCATGGTCTTGGCTGATGGTGGCGTTGTCTGTATCGATGAATTCGACAAGATGCGGGACGAGGACCGTGTGGCTATCCACGAGGCCATGGAGCAGCAGACCATCTCGATCGCAAAGGCTGGTATCACAACAATCCTCAACGCAAGGACATCAGTGCTTGCTGCGGCCAACCCGATTTTCGGTCGGTACGATGACATGAAGACGCCTGGCGAGAACATTGATTTCCAGACCACCATCTTGTCACGATTCGACATGATCTTCATTGTCAAGGATGAACACACCAGAGAGAAGGACGAGAGGATAGCAAAGCACGTCATGGGTATCCACATGGGCGGCCGAGGCGTCGAGGAACAGGTCGAATCTGAGATCCCAGTCGAAAAGATGAAGAGGTACCTCAGTTACTGCAAATCGTAAGTGTTGTCCATCTTCATGCCTACTGATAAAATGCTAACAACAAACTATAGACGTATGGCTCCTCGTCTCAGCCCCGAGGCTGCTGAAAAGCTCTCTTCCCATTTCGTTTCCATCCGTAGACAAGTCCACGCGGCTGAGATGGAGGCTAACACAAGGTCTTCTATCCCTATCACCGTTCGTCAACTTGAGGCTATTGTTCGTATAACCGAATCATTGGCCAAGTTGACGCTTTCTCCCATTGCAACAGAGGAGCATGTAGACGAGGCCATCAGACTCTTCCTGTGCTCCACGATGGATGCCGTCAACCAGGGCAGCAACCAGGGAAGTAAAGAACTCAACGAGGAAGTCAGCAGATTAGAGACGGAACTCAAGCGTCGTCTTGCTGTCGGATGGGGCACGAGTCTCGCAAGTCTGAGACGCGAGATGGTCGAACAGAAGGGGTACAGCGAGCAGGCCCTCAACAGGACGCTGATGATCATGCAGAGGAGAGATACGATCATGTTCCGGAACCAGGGTGCGCAGGTGTACAGGAATGCAATTTGAGGTTGGCTATGATTGAGGAACTGCTTTTGGTACTTCGCGTCACTGCGGTAGATGGTTTTGAGGGACACGGCGGCAGCATTCTGCATATGAAAGAGATGATAATACCAAGCACTTTGTAACGGGATATGATTTGGGATTCTTCAAATGTCACTTTTGCCAAGGAACAAACGCAGGTGAGGGACAAAGGTGTGATGTAGATGTAGTCTTTAATTGTTGGATCTGAGTCTATCCTCAAGCCGACCAACTACGTGGCAGATACCGAAGAACACCACCTTCGATGGGCCATTCGGTATCAGAGTATGCAATCCTCCAATGCCTCGGCAAAGTGCTCGTGTTGGAACACTGTGTGGACCTGGATGACGGGGAAAACTGTTAGCCGCATGAGCTGGAAGATTCCGCGCGCTTCCAAAAAAGTTGTGATAACAGAGCGATTCAGATATGCCAGTTTTCCGCAAGCCCAACCCGGTCGAGTGCATTGGCCAAAGCCGCCGCACTCGCGGCTGAGCGATCGGTTTACCAGATGCATGGGTGTCATCCGCATCTCCAAAGGGGATTGTGTTCATTTGGGCACGATGCTCTATCTACTGCGTACCTTTTGACGATGCAGGAGCAATAGTCCTGGTTGCTTTAGGGGCCTGGTGCAACTTCCTTTTGGGGCCCTACCACATGTGGGTTGTAGATGGCAAAATGACCAACATCACGTCACATATCAAAAGGCCTATAGCAGAGCTGTAGAGAAAAAGAGCACCTCAATACGAGGGCATGTCCAAACTTGCATCAGGTGATCGTCGCATCATGGGAAGCCGCACGAGGGGCCCTCGCTGACGATTGTTTTTAACAAGGGCATTGAAAGAGTTCATCTTGACTCATCCTCAGGTCTCGTCCAGCAGCGTAGAATGTGATGTGAAATCGTTGCAGGCTGGCGATTATTTGATTAAGGTGGTCTTAGGTTTATGGAGAGAAGAGAAAGAGTAAAAGGCGGCTCGCGGTCGCGAGGTTTAAAAATTGCAGAGCCTGCCTGGCCCGTTCCGCGGTGTGGGGCTCATAGAGTGTCACGTGACCTCGATGTGTGTCCTGTGGTCTTGTGGCTTGGGTGTGGTTACCTCGCGGCTTACGTACACATCGTGGGATTGTTACTTCCGGGCACCTTGGTCTGGCTTATGTAAGATACTATGTTCCCAGGCTGGTCAGGTACGATGCCTGCCGGTTGCCTGATCCGGCCACGCCCCTCCTTTCTCGAGGTGGCAGGGTGGGTGCGTGCCAGCGTGGTGAACCTCAACTCCAAAGAGTCCAGCCGTCAGGGCCCGGTGATCGGGTGTCGGGTGTCGGAGCACGGTGGCCATGGTTTCCTGGACGATTCACTGGTGGAGGGGGCCTTGCTTTTGGCTCCGGTCCCAGAAACAGCAGACTATCACTCTCCCACCCTCCCCCCCCCCTGTTGTGTCAGGCTCACTCCCTCCACTCTCCCAGTCTTGTCTCTCCCACTCCCGCGGCAAACTGCCATTTGCCCAACTCACTCCCTCTTCCGCCGCCGTCGGGACTCAAGTAGGGTAGGTACTCACACCCTCCCCCCCTCCCCCATCTTCCCTCCCTCCCGCCCTCTGAACCTACCTAACCAGCCCAGGCTTACCTCACCCACCCGACCTTACCTTTCCGTAGCGGTAGCGGTACCTAACCCGCCAGTGTCTTTTGCCAGTGCCAGCCAGCGCAACCCACGGCCCAGCCAGTCCCAGCACCGTACCAGCCCAGGCGGCCACCCCCGTTAAGCGAGCAAATTGCCTCGCTCATGTGTCCGCCCCCTTCACTCTACGCTGCGCCATTCAGACTTCACTTCTACCAACTCCACCACGACCTGACGGCTTGATCACGGCACAAATCGACCACCGACCCTCGACAGCACTCTATCGCCGTCGGATTACTTTCGCTACGAGTGTATCTGCTGGATATCGTCATCAGGAAAATTTTTAACCCCCACGACAAGGCGCCGACGATCCACGAGGAAGCCGAGAGTGGTGCATGACGCTGCATCGGGGGATTGAGAGCCGTCGGCGGTTTGGCGCGACTCGCCACAACAACCCCCTCATCCTCTGATCTCGCCCAGAGCGAACATTCTTATCGAGCGCATCGTGGAATCCGGTTGAAAGGGATCTTGAGAGGCTTTTTCGGGAAAAGAAAGTGATTTTTCTTTCTTCGCGCCTTCCGATTCGGAGACGCTGTGACAGCAGCCGCCAATCCTTGGTCCGTTTCGACTTCCTCACCCTCACCGACCCGCAGCAATTACGATCACGACGTCCGCGGCGACGAAGAGACAATCCGAACTTCCTGCCATTGGCGAAGTCAATATGTCGTTCCATCCACGAACCCCTCAAAGCCCTTCTCAGTTTTCTCCGGCAACTTCCGATCTCACATCGAGCATGAACAGCTCGGCCCCATCAACAGCCACAACTCTGCCGACACCCGCCCACAGCGTCAACGGCAGCGCATCACAGCCCTCCGATATGTCGCAGGACATCGTCATGGGCGATGACTCGCCCCATAAACGCAAGCGCCCACTCGAGGATTTGGGTGATCGAGATCAGAAGAAAGCCCACATCGAGGATAGCAAAACTGGTATCGAGGCACTCCACCTGGATGTCGGAGAGAAATACCTACTTTGCCAAACTCGTAAGGCTCCCTTCAAAGTCCCCTGTTTCCGTGGCAGGCTGTCTCTGTCTTGCCATCTTCCCTCCCCTACGGCCTATCTAGTATTTTGAGCCGGTTCAATGTCGGACATATTTGGTTAACACTGAGCTAAATAGCGCACCACGAGAGACTGCCGCGTATCACGGAAGACCTCTTCGAGATGTTCAATCTTTCGGGTATCGCCGCAGAAGTCGCTCGCGAAAAGCCCAACGGTGAGAAGAACGCTTTACGGAAGACGTACAAGGGTCAAATCAAGAAACTCGGAATTCTCGGCCGCTTCGACTCCGTCGCCCAGGACTGGGATGCTCCGAGAGAAAAGGACGGCGAGAGCGGCGACAAGAAGAGAGAAGTCTACCACGGCTTCCGGGAATTGCTGGAGATTCCCGATGCTGAGTATTGGGGCACGCGGAACGACCCTATCACCAGTGGTCTGTCTGCTACTGTCAAGTCGATGCTCAACCGAGCAACGACTATGGCTAAGGGCCCGCTTCCTGTTAAGGATTGGGACAGCTCAGTTCTCGGAGACCTGACCCCGGGCAGCATGGAAGCCTTGAGACAGGGTCTCGGTGGCAAGGTGACTGCCCCAGGTACGCCGTCCGCAACCACACCGAACCCCTTTGCGCGAAAGCAGCAACAGGGGCCTCAAGGGGCTGTTCGTCCTCAACGGACAACCAAGAAGCGTGGCTACGGCGATAACAGCTTCGAGGGATATGGCGAAGGCTTCCCTGACGACGGCTACTCTACGGGAGATGGCGATGACAGGGGAGGCCAGAAGCGTCGTAAGAAGGTTGGCCATATTGCATTCACACTAGGCGTAACTGATCTAACACACTACGCTAGGATAACGGCAACAGCCAGACATTCCCGAACACGATGCGTCCGCAAGGCTACGGATCCAGCGCCGTGGGTGCTTAGAAGCCACCTCCGGCGACTAAGGTCGGCAACCGCCGAAACGCTCGCAAAAAGGGCTAAGCCCGAACATTGCCTTTATCTCATTTCTACGACTGGCCATCGTGTTGGATATCGCGGGTCTGCAAGCACGTTGCTGCTAGCACTGAACTTTTGGGTTGCAAATCAGATCTATGCCCGTTGAATGCTCACAAGGCAGTCCCGTAAGAAGATTGAGGGCCAGCGGTTGACGACGACGCAACATGCGCGCGTCAAAAGAGGTACCGCTTCGAGGGTTACCGGGGGGCAAAGGCGGTGGTTGGACGGGGGCATATCTACCCCCTTTTGATGAAAATTTCCACTTCCAGCAGGGCGTTCAGGGGGATCAACTTACTTCCTTGTTACCATTTTACTCCTTTTTTGCTTTTTTTCCCGGTTTTTTTTTTTAACGCATTCAGTCGAGGTTGGGCAAACGAGAAAAAAACATGACCGACTGAAAGAAGGGACGGGGGAAAAAATACCACGCGGCTTCACAATGAGGAGGGGGAGGGAGGTCATTTCTAAAGGGCTGCTACGAAAGGGGACGGGAATCATTTTACCACGAACCACGACCACCACAAACCACAAAAACCAATCATCACATCACCATCATCACCACCGGACACTTTCTCAAAGGAAAAAAAAATCATTTCTTCCCCTCTCTCCCACAATCCCACACACACAAAGAAAGGCAAAGGGGTGGGTAGGGGGGACTTCAGAGGCAGGGTCGTTGTAGCACTAACACAAACAAAACACAAACAAGTAATTCCAATAGAAGGCGTGAAGAAGGCCTCTACACACACAAACCCACACACACACTAGATATTGTATGAAATCGTGAATTCGCCTATGCTTTCTTATTCGTCAGGGTTGTTGAACCTCGAATCCTTGGGTGACTGTATGTTTTGTGTCATGAGTACGTTTACTTTTACTAAAGTAGAATATTTCTTGTTCGGTATCAACTTCACTGGGGTAGACTACCCGCGTTCTAGACATGGACAGTCCTGCTGCCTCATCTTGCCCCATCTCCCCAAGTCCACGTATGTACCCCAGATTACAACGTCAAGGTGCCCAAAACCTCCCCGGCATCAAGGTATCAAGGGTATCAAGCTACCAAGGGCATCAAGGCATCTCCATTATCGCCCTGACGCTCAAGTCATCCTGCACCCACGACACGATGCGCTCCCCGACGTCGCCGATGAGCGTGTCGTAGTGCGGGCCCGGAAGAAAGAGGCCGCAGTGGGCGCCGACCTCGTCCATGCCCTCCATGTACACCGACACCCACGTCTCGTCGCGCTTGCCGTTCTTCTTGCCGGGCAGTGTGCAGAATTTCCGCTCCTTTTTCGGTTTGTCCGGTTTAGCGCTGGATGATTTGGCAATGGCTTTCGAGTTGGAGCTGGAGCGTGCGGCGACGGCCTTGGGGCGGCTTGGGATTGTACTGTTGTTGGTGGCGCCCGTCTGCGTGGTGTTCACAGATGCCGTGGACGAAGACGGTGCGGCGACGGCGGGCGGCCGGTCCTTGACTGCGGCCGCGGCGCCGGCAATGACAGTCGCTGCCATTTCGGCTTCGACCTCCGCGGACTTCTTGTTCTCCTCCTCCTCCTTCTCATCATCATCCTCGGCGTCACTGTCGAGCGGCTCCCCGCGTAACCTCCTACCCTCCCTCTCCATCCTCTTCGCCTCCTCCGCGAGCCTCCTCGCCTCCTTCTGATCGTGCGTCTCTTCGGCCGCCTCTTTCCGGGCCGCCTCCTCCTCCTGTTGCCGCCGTTTTTGCTCTTCCTTTTGCAACTTCAGTCCTTCCTTTTCGATCCTCTGCGCTTCCTTGGCCGCCTCCTTTTCCACCTTTTTGCGGCGCTTCTCGACGAGCTTCTGACGCTCCCTGATGGCTTTGTCGCGGCTCTTGACGGCAGACTCGTACGCCTTTTGCGCGCGCTTGCCTTCTTTCTCCGCCTGTTTCCGGGCGTCTTTGTCTGTGTACCTATCTAGATCCGGAGGCGTCGGCTGTTCGGGAAGGTCGGGGATGGGCGGTAGCTCTGCTTCGGGTATGACGTCTCCCATGGGCGTCGCTGCGCCGGCCTCGGGACTTTTCTCCGTCTCGTCGGCCGCCCCGTTCGAAGAAGTTGAAACAGGCACGGTTTCTTCGACTTGGGTATCGGTATTGAGTGTCTCGTGCGAGTCGACATCGCCTTCCTTCTCCTTACCCTTTGGTTCACGCGTCTCCTTGTCGAGCGCATCCGTCGAGTGGGAGCCTGCCTTTGTATCATGGTCGAACCGTGTCTGCTGTTCCTCGTGGAGCGTCGAAAGCCGTTCGTCAATGTCCTCCATCGGAATCGGCTCGAGCAGTTCCATTTCCTGCCCATCATCAGACGACAACGAGATCCTGGGCGTCGACGAAGACGGTGGAGAAAGATGGGAGCCGACCTGCAACGTGCTCGGGGCCGCGCGATGCTCTGGGGACGTTGGTGACTCGGGGGATTTTGGCGAGTCTGGCGTCTTTGGTTTCTTGGGTCTGCCCGAGCTGAGTGTGTAGTAGTTGATGAAGCGGACCCTGACCTGAGCCGGCCGGTTGACGTTGTTGCCATCGCCCATGTGCTGCAGGGGGTCGACGCTCTCCATGGCGCGGAGCTTGTTGTACCGAGCGTTCAGGCCAGGATAATCCGCCAAGCAGCCGCCGTATTCGAGATGAGACATGACGTGGTTCTTGGTAGCGTCCCAGATGCCCTCGCGGCTGTGCTTCTTTGCAAAATGACCTAGCCGCCTCATAAAGGTACGATCTTTGAGGTTCACGTCGTTGAAGAAGGACGGGTTGAAGGTGGGATCCGGCTGCTGCGGCGGTGCATTGCCCGAGGAGATGGACGGTGTGTTGCTCGGGTGCGGCGAGAGGTCTGCACCGAGTGAGCTCGTCGTCTCCAGGGTGTACATGGACGGGTTCGGACTGGCCAGGGCCGAGTTGGTAGGGCTCAGCTGGTTGAGAGCCTCGTGCTCTGGCTTCTCCTCTGTCGGGGTGGCTGGTCTGAATAAGCTGGATATTCCAGCGACAATGATGCCGGGGTGAAGCCCAAGGAACGGCGAATCCAGTGAGATGGTGCCGAGGATGCGGTGCTTGTACGGGTGGCGTCTGTACGGGTGCCGATTAGGCTGAAGAACATGTCAGTCAAGTTGTCCATCGACCTTGTATGTATATGGGAAAGTTATACCATCATGGCAACCTCGGCCGCGAGCAATCCTCCCATTGAGTGTCCAACGAGAATGACATCAGTCGAGTCGGACTCGTGCGGCTCCAGCCACTGGCTAAAGTTGTCACGAGCCACATCGATGGCCTTGTACGTCTTATAGCGATGGTAGATTTTGGAGTGGACGACGTGCGTCTCCACGAGCCACATCGATGGCCTTGTACGTCTTATAGCGATGGTAGATTTTGGAGTGGACGACGTGCGTCTCAGCGAGAGCTTCTTTGAGGTGATTGTGAACGTGAGCGGGGAACGAGCGAAAGGACGACTCGTTACCGTAGAAGCCGTGGATGTAGATGACGAGCAGGGTCCGGCGGGTGACGCCGTCGCGGTCCTTTGCGGACGGGGCAAGCGAGTGCGCCGACGAAGACCTAGGATCGGCGAGGCGCCACTTGGAGTCCACGATGCCGAGACCGTCGGCGGCAGAGGAGGAAGGGTAGCCCGAGGACGGACCGGCGACGGCGGCGGTAGGTGGGGGCGGGAATTGGGTCGAGGACGTGGAGCCAAATTGACCGGAGCCGGAGGCGGATGCGGTCACGGAGTAGGGCGGCGGTGGTGCGGACGAGGACGAAGGTCCGTCATAGGCGAAACCGGACATGACGTCAGATTCTGGGCAAAGCCCAGATGGGTGTGTATGATGCGGAGGTCTAAAATGTGCTGTACTTTATCTATACTACTGTGTATGTACACAGGAGTGAAAGAGGAGGGGGAGGGGGTGCAAGGGCCGTAAAGCTTGGGGAGGGGTAAAAGGAAGGAAGGGCGACCACAGCGAAGAATGATTTAGGAGGGATGAGAGCTTCCAGGTGTGACCGTGTGTGTAGGTGTTTTGCGATACGGAAATGGAAGAAGGAAGGTTGGAGTCGGATGTCCAGATATAACACGGAGGGCCAGAGACCCGTCACGGCCAACGGGCATTGATGAGGGTAAGGAGGAGGAGGAGGAGGAGACCGTGGGCTATTTCACTGACATTTGCCTTGGTTAAGGGTGCTTGCTGCAAGATGCAAGAGCCTGGCCCAGGCGCACGCGTTCTGGTGCTGATGAGTTCCAAGGTGCTGTGCCTGCTTTGCCGTGCCGTGGTAGGTTGAGATCAGGTACTTACTCCAAGGTCGGTAGAGAAGCCAGAGGTAGAGGTAGGGATGCAGCTGTGGGATGACTGCTGGAGAGTGGAGGTACGAAGTACCCGAGTGGTGCGGTGCCGTACAGAATACGCGGGAAAAGCGAAACTCGGGTACTTGGTCTCTCCTGCCTTACCTCATCCGTACCTGGCTTGACCTTATTAATACGGATACCTTTTGGTGAAATGGAAACCTCATTGCGCCGCTGCTGCGCCCGGTTTTCCAGGTGGACAGGTATCCGTACGCCAACTGCATTACCTTATTTCTTTACCAAGCTGCCAAGTACGAAGTACCCGACGGCAAGAAGGCATTTCACTCACCTACCGTTGGAGACCTAGGGCCTCTAGAGGAAAGAAAAGAGTAGTCGAGCCACCACAGCCACTATGCGCTTGCCTGTATCAGGCCATCAGACGATAAGCCCCAGACGAGCACTGGCCTACCTTACACAGTAGACGACTGGCTCCCGCCACCCACTGGCGGTTAACGATGCCGGAGCCACGTCTGGCAGCCACTCCCACCCAAAGTTGGCATTCAAGGCAAGTAGGAAATGACGACATGCTGCAACCTCGAAACAAAGCAGTCGTAACCTCCTTGGCGTACCACTTCCCAGTTCACTTCCTCGCGTTGCCCTCGCCGTTGCAGTCCTCGGGTTTTCGGATCCGGTACGGCCGGTTTTCGCGCGGTTCGCGGTTTAGCCGTTGTTTGCATAGGTACACCACATACTGCGTAAGGTGAGGTACATGCAGCACAGCCATTTACTTACACCCAAACGTTGGGGCCTGAGTCAGCCACGCTTTGGTTACTTCGCAAGTCGCAACCAGAACGTGAATCGCGACATTCAAAGTTGGCATCTGGGGGCGCAGGGCTCAAATGAGCCAAGTCGGAAGTTTATGGCCGCGCCTGATTGTCTACCTTCAGGTTTCCGTACGGATACGCAATTTTCAGACTTTATTTGAATGATCAAGTGTCAAAACAAAGCCTTCAGGGCTATGCGAGACATACTTTCAGCTCGCAGTTAGTTTATCGCTTCCCTCTTGACCTAGAGAGCCTCATCCAGTCTTTAATTATTCTCCAGCAATGCCCGGAGAAAAAAAAAAAAAAAAAAGAAAGCAGGACTTTGTCATTGATCCTTACGCTAAGCCGGGCGTCAATGACCACTGCATCACTTGCTCAGAGATCGGAGAGACTTTTGAAAAGATAACTACAACGTTTCCACCGGTTCATGACACAAGAACAGGACTACCCTGGCAGCTTTGCCTTCCAAGTATCCTTCCATACAACACTGCGCGAACTCTATCTGTGCTTTAATGAGCTTGCTGGTTCAGTGCTTGATTGAGTAGAAGTTTAATACTCGGCAGGTGTGCAAAAAACCAAACAAAGTAGTGATAATCAAAATTGAGCCTTGCATTTGTGCAGGTTTTGTAGACCACCAACTCTTGCCCAATCAGCACCTTTCACGGCGCAGACCATGGCGTTTTGATTTCGATATCCTCTGTGCCTGCCAAACCCCCCTTGGAGATGGTCCCTCTTAAAATCAAGTTGGCTGAGAGAGAGACGAATCCCCGTTCTCTCAGATGAACGTTCCGTCGTCCTGTTGCGGTCATTTTCCTCGATTCGGGGGCCGAGGGTAGGGCAGGGGCCGGCAGGGCATCGCCATGGGTGATGGATCAGTTGGGAGATTACACAGATTAGATTGGAGACTCCATCATCGCTCTTCTCCGTTGCAACCGTCGCCAACTCCAACAAAAGTTTGTTGGAAAACCTCGAGTGGGTTTCGTCGAAGCGATTGTTATTGTCTGCTTCTGGTTGATCTGCCTTGCTGCCAGGTACGATCCGCCAAAGGAGAATAAAAATATCGAAACGGCGCCCGGTAGTTGATAGACATGGTTCCGCGGCGCCAATTCCCTCATCTTCAGGTGGACGTTCGTCCGTCGGGACGACGGGGCCCAAGGTTTCCAGAAGGATGGGGCCTAGAGCGAGACAACAAGAGAGAACAGACAGACGGCAGACGGCTATCCGTCCTCAGACATCGTGTGTTCTGGCCCACGGACACGGCCACTTGTACGCTAAGCTGGTCGCAGTTTCGTGGAATTCAGTGCGGCTCCTCTTTGAGCAGAAGTGAGGAATTCGATGCGAGCTATAGAAAGGTAGCTGCCCGTCGTCTCGGGAACGCGCCCAGGAGAAAACCCACCGGGATGGTAATGAACGTGCTCTCCTACGGATAGAGTCATTGTTGTCTCGCGCACTTTTTCGACTCTTGTTCTTGTGGTACGGAGGACGGATACTGTGGTTAGTCTACCCACGTTTGCGCTGCACAACATCTGCACTGCACAGCAGTCTTAGCCAAACCATCGACTGCACCCCCCAGGCTGTCGACGTTCGACAAGCCAAGAGGTACAAGCCTTTCTCTCATTGAACTCCACTTTACTTGTACGCCCGTCGGGGAGGGGGTCGGTTCAAGGGAGGATTACGTACAGCCGTGGAGACCTTGTCATTCCAGTGCCGTGCTTGGTCTTGGATGACGCCGTGGTTTGAATGACAATCTTTCCTTGGTGCGAATGTCAAAATGTGCGAATACTGGAACAACACTCGCTGCCATGTTGCAAGGGAAGGAAAGCACATTGAAGGGTCCCAGAATTCAGAGAGCCTCCTGAGACGCGCTAAATCGTCTCATACAATCGTTCAACTTGCCTAAATGATACCTATATGATAACGCATAAGTTATGGCCTCTACACGGGGAAGAAGCCGAACACCTTAATTCTGGGTAATTCGTACCTGGGGCGCCAGTAAAAAGACTCCATTGTCAGTGAGGCAGTGAAGAGCAGGTTCCGTCACGCCGAGAAATATAACGGGGCAAGGGAAAGGGGGCATCAGCAGAGACGGGGGTTCCAGGTTACCCCAGTGTTTGTTTCGATGGAAACGAAATTCGTCCCATGATCGCCGAGCCTCGCCAAGCTTCCAACACGTAGAGACAGAGGAGACAGAGGCGACAGAGCAGGCTTGAGGCTTGCCGTGCACTAGGAGAGAAAACCAGATGTAGGCCCCTCCCATCTTAACGGCATGTGGGTGCTTGACGTCTTTTAGCCACTCGCTTCTAGAACCCATCGTCGTAGAATTATCCGTACGCAGTAGACATTTCTGTAGGCGTTGGTCAAAGTTGAAGGAGTCTGACAATTGTCTTCCCCCCCGGTTGATTCGGCATACGGGAGTCAATTGTTTCCCGTCGTTCGAGTCTTTTGCAACCTCGCCAGGCTCACCTTGCTGGATTTGAGGGGAATCCTGGGCTAGGTCGCATGTACAACAGCCAATATTCATCTCGTGTAGGCACTGATGCGGGTATGTGCTCTGCCATTGTTTCTCTGCGTTGGCCGTTCGCTTGGTTTCTTGCCCTGGAAGCATGCCTTCCCCTCGCCCATAACACCTTTCGATATTATGCGTTTGGAGGATGAAGAGGGGCTAATCCGTCCCGTCCGTCTCGTCCGCACGTTTCGTTTGGTTCTTCGCCCGGGGCGCCGGCCATGGCAGCGAAAGTGTGAACGGCCCCACGAACTCCATGGAGGGCCCCCAAGAACTGGAGCCCAGGCCAGGGGTCCAGATGCAGATGCAGGTACCGCGCACTGTATGCCGTATCCGTGCGGCCACAAAAAGAAACAACAACATCATATGCGGCTTATGGAAGACTCTATTCAGAGGCGATGGTGAACGGGGAAAAGCGAGCATTTGCTTGGATTCGTAAAATTTGGCTCCTTCATGGTAAATACGAGGTGGAGGGTGCCTGCGGTACGAGGTGAGGAAAAGCCACGAAGCTGCCCCCAACAGAGCCGCTCAACGGATTTCGGTAGGTAGTGATTGCGAATGATTTGACTTCAGGTCAGAAGGCGTGTATGAGTCGGCACAACCCTCGGGGGAGTGAACAGTACTGGTCAGGCAGGTAGGCGGCTCGCAGATGACATGGCGAGACTGGAGATTTCAACGGTAGTTACACGGGTTGATTTTGGCGCATGCCCCCTTGATATGCATGCTTTGACAAACTTTTTGGTCGCATTCTCAGATCGAATTTTTGCTTGTATTTTCCTTTTCTTCATTTCTTTTCTTCCATTCTCCAATATGGTTGGCTCGTCATGCGCCGTCTAGCGATGATGGACTTGAAGGCTTGCGAACTTTATGCTGCAAGCTGTGAGAAGTATGGACTATTAAAATGCCGGCATCAGTCCAGCGGTAGCCGTAGCTGAGCGACGAAGACAACGTACGAAAAGTTGGAGTAGTGGAGTCGCTACTACTGGTTTGCGTCGTCGTAAGTTGGCCCATTTATTTCGCAGATATTTTTATTCCATTGGATTCCGAATCTCCAAAATGGCAGATGCAGAGCCGTTGACCCTCCTCCTCAAGCATCGACTTGGGGAAGGTGGGCAATCCTTGATGGACCTCTCTGTCCCTAGCGTCAAGATGCTTCGTCATTGTTGGTATCCGTAGGTATCCGTAGGCACGTTATTAGTGCCGTACGATAGCGTACCCGGGAGACATGTCTGGTCTGGACCTTTCTGGATTCTGGATGGCAGTTGGTCGAGCGGGTTGCGCCGCGTGCGCCGCCATGATCTCGTGGGCGAAACCAACGGCGCCAATTGAACGCGCAGAAGACGAGTTGAATTGCTCATGGACACGGACCTTGTAGCCAAATAAAGACTTTTGCAAGGGAAAACGAGACACATTCGTCGGGCTTGCGCAGGCCATTCCTTTCCTGGACCTCGTGTGTCCATGTCTCGTGTGTCTTGTATGTATTTTTTGACGCGGTGCCTTAGTCAGACTGGTCGGCTTTCTCTCTGTGCCTCTTTCGTCCCATGCATCATCTCATTTCATGTCATCCCGACGGATAGTGGTGTGTGCTGGTGCTGTCTGTCACCTCTGATTTGATCGGCGGGATGTTTCTCGTTTCCTTTTCTTCTCTGTCGCCTTCATGCCACCGAAGGGCCTGTGCTTTCAACCGTCTGTCCATCGATTAGCCATTGCCTTTCCATCCAAAGCCAATTGATAGTGTGCAGTGTATCCATGGACCATAAGGTACGATTGAAGTCGTTGGCAATGAGGTACGGGGTACTGCGTAGGTTGCGTTGGATGATACGCCGTGTGTTGACTGGCGTACTGTGCGGACCTCGATGTGACAGGCACCAAATGGGAAGACGTGAGAGGGATAAAAAAGAAAGCAACAAGAGAGAAAAGGACAGGACGCCATGGCGATGGGGTGCATGTTCCCTGCCCATCCCCTGTCCCCTGTCCCTGGGCCATGGTGCCCGTTCCTGGTCGGCCCATGCCCCCATTGCTGGTGGAGGGGGGCCGCTCCCCGTGATAGTGGACAGTGGAACTGCTCACTGCAACTTTGGCGAGGTGTGGTTGGCCAATGGGACGCGATGTCCTCCAACTAGCAGCCACTCGCCAATATCAAGCGAGATTATCGAAATCTTCCCACCTGCGAGTGACTGCCAATCTGCGCCTGTGTGCCAGTCCTACTGCGTACCTTTGGTGCTTTCCTACCTTACCTTAGTCTGTACTCTGTACCTTCTTGTCAGTCTGTCTTTTCAATCGCCCAGTGCCAAAGTCCAAGGCCCCCCCCCCCCCCCGGACACTTCCCAGGGCAAGAACAGATTGAAGTGAACAGGGCGACGCCCACCTCACGTCGAAGCGCTCAACTTTGACCGAATAGGTGTGACTTTCTCACTTGACTGGACCTGCGTTGTTTCCCTTTCCAAACGGATATTGCATGTTATTACACTACGGAGTACCTACCTTACCTTACCTTACCTTACAGCCCGGCCTACGATCGATCCATTGCCTATTATTATCGTCGTGCCTGCTCACTCCACTCCCCTCCCCCCCCCCCTCCCCATCCACGGCGCCTGTCTGTCTGCGTGCCTCTTCCCTTCTTCTTCTACTCCTCCCTCCTCCTCCTCCTTCTCCTCTTACACCGACTCCTTCTAGTCCTCTTCTCTTCGCCTCCTGCCAGCAACACACGCTTACGCCGCCATGCCATCGTCCTGATACATCGGCCATGAGAATTGGCGGATGCAAGGGAGACAAAGGATCTCGAACACGAACAACGAGAAACGGCTGACACGAACTGTCCACGGTCCCTTCCTATTGTTGGCTTTTTAAATCCTTTCCGGGGGGCAATCGCACTTTCGCACACACGACATCCAGAGAAAATTTCAGAAAGAGTGTAGGGGAAAAAGAGAACGACCATCTGTTGATTCGGAACGAAAGGGGGAATTGCATTCGCGCGGCCCGTTGCAGGACACCACCACCACCACTACTTCCACAACCGTCAACCACCAACCACCAGACGATAGTACCATTTTATCGACACATGGCCATGAGGATGCCAAGAATGGAATTCGAATAGATCGACAATTCCCATCCAAACACAAACCACACACACACACACTCGCTCACATTCGCTTACTTGCCCGGTGATCCAACACTAGTCACTCGTTTACCTTGTTTCTATCTTTATTCCCGTCCCGCCCTGGGAACACGCCGGCTTGAAATTCGCCTCCCCCAGTTTACCAAAAAAGACAACCAACCACACCCAACAGCCGGGGCAAAAGCTCAGCCTCTGTCTACTTGGCCCAACGCCACCCCATCGAAGCCATGACTAAATCACTGCGCGGGTCTTCACTCCCTCAGGCCCGCTCATACCATCACAATCATTACCATTTACACAACCAACGTGCAGCCACCCCCGAGAATGCGAATCACCACCATCGCCAACTCGACGACCCTAGCCCGACGACTCCCAGCCCCGACGCCGCCACCTCGTCGAGTGCCGCCGCACCGAGAATCGTCGTCCAGACCGTCTCCCTCATTCAAATAGTCGATGCCACCGGCTCCCCTATCCAAGTCCAGACCATCTTCCCGACGGCCGCCACCGTGGATGCTTCATCAACCACCAGTGCCGCCCTTGACTTGTCAATTGCCGCGGTACCATCCTCAACTTCGTCCACCGATTCTTCGACGACATCTTCTAGCACCACGAATGACTCAGCACTGTCAACACCGGCGCCCACGACATCCGCGTCCACCGACTCTTCCACCAGTCAAGATATCTCCTTGACGTCCGATCCTTTATCCACTCCAGCACCTTCAGAAGCTACGCCGTCACTCTACCCTACGTTGAGTGGCCAGTCAAACTCAACAATTTGTGCGCCGCCTCCCCTTTTGTCGCGTGTCCCAGACCGAAGCAGCTGACCCAATATCTAGCATTCCTTACTTCAACAAACTCTTCTTCAACCTCAGTCTCTACCACAACCAGTTTAACTAGCCAGCTTTCATCTGGCTCAACAAGCGTCACTTCATCAATACTTTCATCCCTGTCATCGACGACATGGGGCTCCAACTCGGGTTCGACTGCAACCTCGACATCGGCATCGACCTCGATTTCGGGTTCTAGCAGATTGAGCACGTCTACTTTCACCACGAGCGCCTCGCAATCGCCCTCAAATGAAGCGACAGCTTCCGGAGATGGGACCGCTGGTGGAATCGGCGGCGGCGCGGCGGGGACGGCTGCACCCACTTCAACCTCCACCTCGGACGATTCTAGCGGTGGCGGTTCGCCAACGCCAACGGCAACTGTCGTCGGAAGCGTCGTAGGAAGTTTGGCTGGAGCGGCTTTCCTCGTGGTGCTGGTATTCCTCGCTCTTCGGTGGAAGAAGCGTACCGGTGGACGGTTCCGCCTCAGTGAGGCCAGCGCCGGCAAACGAGGCATCCTGACCGGTTCTGGTGGTCCGCCCGGTGGCAATGGCGGCGGAATGGTTCAACGGTCGTTATCATTCGATCCCACGACAGCGGCCGCTGGTGCCGGGGCCGGAGCAGGTGCGATGGCTGTGGCTCACAAGCCTTCCTCAAGGAGGGCTAGCGAGCCTTCCGAAACCGGCGAGAGAGGCTTTGTCCGAGTAGCCGGCAGGAAACTGCCTTCTGTGCTACAAGCCGGAGGCGACGGTTACACAGATCCACGCGAGGGCACCTCAGCCGCCGTGAACGACGACGAATCAGTCTACTTCCGGGACTCCCAAGCCTTTTTCGACCCCAATGGTCAAACAACACGCCTCGCACTCGGCTCGCCCATGAGGCCAGTCAGCGGTGTCGTGGTCTTCAAAGAGTCGCCGGCTCGAACGCCAGTAACCGAATCGGCGCCGTTCCCGCCTCCGGCCGCGTCTCCGCAGACAAATCCGCCGTTCGTTCCGTTACAGCCCCCCGGTCGGGACCCAATTGGTCGGACCTTACCTTCGCAGGACGGGTCTCGGGGCTCTCGGGGTTCGGCTTCTAGGTTTCACGAAGACATGTGAATTCACTTTCTTTTTCCTTTATGTTCAACCTTTTTTCCCTTCTTCCTTTTCATTCCCAGCTCGGCCAATGCTGAGCTCGAGGGCAACGCCGGGACTCCAAAAACGTACCTTGAGGCGTATTGTACATTCTTACCAATCTTTCAAACGATAATTATTAGTACTTATTTGGGGAGGGGTTTGGGTGGTGGGGGGTTTACACCTTTTTTGCTTTGTGCCATCTTTGCGGACTCTACGACGGCATATGGAATGGCGTTGAGAGAGTTTCTGGCACGTCTGATGTGAGCCTTTTGCGTTCCGGTCTTGCGGAAGGGAGGTGAATCCATGGAGAAGTGGGAAGGGATATGGATTCAAATTTTTTTTAAAAGCAAGCAAGCTAGCACGCTTGCGTGCGCCGGCTCCGGACCGCAATTGCTGCATTGGCATCCGCAGTTGAGGCGAGCGTTGGACTTGCTTGGATGTAGATAAGTTTTCTTTTCAGTTTCGCCCCAAGATGGGAGGCGAGAGTGGAAGTGAGAGGTCAGAGACGGGTCAAAGGGGATAGAGCATGGAGGGCAACATTAGATTTTTACCTTTTCTGGCCACGGCCACGAAGGGGAGAAAAAGAGAAGATGAAGTCTATCCGACCTTTTTTTTGCCAACAATTCTTCTGCCCTTACCTTACCTCACTTGCCTCTAGCGTACGGAGTACACGTTACAAAACCACATGCGTACGAAGCCAAAAGGCGTGACCACCTTTTTCCGCGTATGGAAGTTCGTGTGCTCTCCCATGTGACGAGAACTCTATCTCACTCGAGCTTTCTAAACCGCTGTTGGGGATCCACTTGCGATGATGAACATGCCGTGCCGTGCCCTCCCCGTCCGATCTCTTCCCCTTGGAAGGTGGAGGGAAATCCAATCGTAGCAAGACCGGGGGTGAGGGACCGGAAGCGCGGCTGCGTTTGCGTTGAATGACGGATAGGATGGCTTCTTGCTGAGTAGTGTAAGGAGTGAGAAGAACACAAAAAAAAAAAACCAAGTTGTCCCTTTCATCTCCTCGGGCTGCCTCTGGGAAAGCTCGTAAGATTCGCACCAAGAAAGACTTTTTGCGCAAAACAAAACGCGGACCCTAAGTTCATGGGGCGAGTCTTTCCCCCGGAGGCGGAGTCTGAATCTTTGGGAATCCTTGGGGGGGGGAAAGGAGACTGCAGAGAACCCCCAAGAACGTTGTTGCCTTCCCGGGTGGAGTCGCTTTTTTGGTGAACCATCTTGAGACATGTATGAAACGGTGGGAACCAGAATGAATGGTCGTGTCGAGCTTCTTTTTTTTTTTTTCTTCCCTTTCTTCAACAACCACCCCCGTTCCGGAATTCTGGAGCGGCAACCTTGTGTCCCGCTTGGGCCGCGCCCTTACCATGACAAATTCGTCTTCAAGTTTTGGGCATAAAATTGTTGGTATTCTCTTTGCAGCGTCTTACACGATCCCGATTGGGTACGAAAGTAGGCACTCACCTCACAGTGGCCTGCTTCCTGTAGGGCGGGTGTCTCATCCATCAGGTGTTTATGAGTGTTTACCATCTCATCCCATCCCATTCCCTGGTACCGTCATCTACAACACGGGATGAAACATCTTTTTTGGGTAGTTGGCCTCAATGAAGGAACGAATGGGCATCATGTGCAAAGCGCCCATACCACTGCACACCCGAGGCCGCTCATGATCATCCAGTACGAGTTATTGCACAAAGACCGATGCTGGAGGTGTAGTGCCGTCTAGTGTCGAGCCTCATCTGCCCATTGTCATCTTGCGATACTTCTCGTATAACACGGTCGTGGTGGCTTCGGGTGCTTCATACCTGGGGGGGCAAAGGCAGCATGCGCCTCCATCAGGCCGGAGCTTCCTGCTCCATAACAATAGGAGCCTCGCATAATACCCGAGCTTGGAGTAAGAAACCTCACTCCCGGTCTCAAAAGCTCCACTTCTTCGAACCCTGCGGCATCTTCAACCGTCCGAAGGTGTCGAGACCAGTATGAACCACCCACGGCATCGATGGCACCTGCATTCCGTACACAGGCCCGGGATGGTTATTCGAGAAGAGCTCTAGTACGTCGCGGACCTCGGCGCAATACATCGCAGCGGCGGCGTAACCTGAAGTAGTGAAGAGCGAGGCGCGAGGCGACAGCACGAGATCTTGCTGGGTTGACGTTGGTATCGACGTGCGATCTTGGTCGTATGCCTTGATTTATCTCGTGATATGCTCGCTCTAGAGGAACTTGCGGTATCCAACGACAAAGGCCATGCCCCGGATTCGTAGAGCGTTTCCTCCATCCTTCCTTGCCAGGATGGAATATCATGCAGTCATTGAAAATGGATCTCGAGGAGTCGAGATATTTGCACCGGCTTGCTCGGATCAAACAGCTGAGCCCCCCGCCTCCCGCGCGCGCACTCCACCCGGCCGACTGGATGTAAGCCTCGCCGAGCTGGTTGGGCATGCAAAGAGGCCTCACTGTCCGGCTGTCGGAGCAGTTGTGAACAAGCTGTTACCATAGCTTCAGACAGGCCTCGATAATGGTAAAGCCATTATCGATTAGGGGGTGGGGGCTCCGTCAATGCCCGCGAGCGGTACCGCTAACTGGAGATAACTCCGTGACGAGCCCAGGCCGGCACGCCATATGCGCATGCAGAGTGGTTCCCCGTGCTCGACGCCGGATGGCGGTTTTCCTCGTTGCGGTTGGCTAGCGTCTGTGACTGGGAATGAGTAAGAGATAAGAGGAAGAGGGAGAGAAGGTTCTGCGCTTGTGCCTGTCACATCAAGCAAACCCTTGTTCCTGGACTGATTCCGAGCTAGTCTAGCCGTCAAGACTGAAAAGGTGTGTCCGAGCCACGAGAAGATTCATCTTCCCATCAGGATTTAGAGCTTTCTTGAGAGCATGGCCCCCCAGACATTGACGGATACCGAGTCGCCTTCCTGATTGAAGTACGGGGACGAGTAGAGTTCGTGATATCGTTGGTAAGTATCCGTCCCGTGTCCATCCTTATTCTTTCTTTCTGTGCTATTCCCTATTCGATGGCGCCTTCTCTCAGGTTGAGGTGAGGATCCAAGTTGGAGAACTAGATATCTTCGGACGCTCGGGACGTGGAGGAGCCCAGCTTGTAAGAGGTGCAGGCCAGGGGAGGGAGATTGATTAAGGTATCCGTACATGCACTGCAGATGGCGCCGCACGGGCGGTAGATGGGGCCTGTCAAGCCGATTCAGCCGATCTGATTCGCCGCGAGAGTGTTCCTCGCACATGGTGCCGCGCCGGGGGTTGCAGAGTGACAGAGAGAACGACGGGGGAAGGTCTGCGAATGCTGGGTATTGCTGTGTAGGGGCGGTCGAGAGCTGAGACAAAAGAACAATTCCGATATCAAAAGGGTTAGAAGTTTGGGGGGGTTAGGCCGGTAAAGTGGGATGGGTGGGGAGGAGAGCGACCTACATGACGGTGAAGTGATGAACGGTGGAAGCCAAGAAGCGGGAGACGAGGTCCGCCACGGAATCCAGGCGCTCTCCTCTTGGTCAATGGCGTCGACGGGTTGGAAGTTGGAACCGACCAGGCGGAAAACCTGGAAGTCGAATCGGTGAGGGAGCAGAGGAGCATCTTGACGTCGCGGCTCGGGGTAGACGTGTCTCCTGGCCTCCATCGTACCCTGGAACGGATCTAGGGCATTGTAGATGCATGGCCTTGCGCTGCCTCTCTCCTGACAGCTGTACCTAGCTTTGCAGCGTCGATCAAAGTGCCGAGTCATGATCCGCGAAGTATCAGACAGTTGCTCCGGCGGCCAACAGGCACCGCAGACGAGCGAATTGACGTCTAACTTGGGATGAGAGGCCCATTGACTGGAGAGGAGAAGCAACTCTACACCACCACCATTACCAGTACAATGTGGTTGTGGTGGTGGTGGCTTTGAGATCCTCCAATGGCAGACGAGGCAGCCGAAGGCAGCAAACCAAAATAGCAAAGCGACGTTTGGGGGTGTAGAAGAACGTGGCAGAATAATAAAGAGGCGCGGATTATTACATGAGATGCAGTCGAATGCCATGTGCTCTCTTTCATTCATTGGTAATAAGGTACGTATGGCCATATACCTACCTACCTACCTACCTTACCTTCCGTTGATCTGGTAAGGAAGGAACCTAAGTCGACCTCTCGCTTCCTGCACAAGTCACCCTTGTACGTATCCGTACTTCGTACCATCTCGTCCTCCGGGCCGGCGGGCGACAGCAGCAGCAGAAGTCGGGGTCGCCCCCTTCCCGAAGCACCTCCCCATCTTTCTCCAAGAACACCCCTTGTGGAAGGTACAAGTTTGCGGTTGTTTAAGCAAGTAGAATGTGACGGGAAGGCACGAAAGGAAGGTACCTTAGGTAAGGTACGCGGATACCGTGGATGGTACCTTACAGCTGGGGGATCTTGGAGAGCACCGCGGGCAGCGAAACGAGACCAGTGGTGCCCCCTCCCCCTCTCCCCCCCCCCTCCTTACCCCCTGGTCAGCTACGCCCCGCTGACCAATGCCACTGCAAGCACATTGACGGACAAGTCTGCGAGTTTGCAACTCTGTAACGCCGTTTGCCCCCCCTCCCCTTTCCCCAAGCTGTGGAAAAAGTACTGCGTACCTTCAGGTGCACCAGGAGGTGATGAGTTATGTGATACGCCCAGCTCAGCTCTTCTCTTTTGTCCATCGTCCTTCCGTCCCATCATTCAGCCGTCAACTTTTCTTTCATCTTTCCCCTTTTCCCACCCTTCCTAACTAGCTGTTCAAACTTGCTGGAACTACGGAACTTCTAAGACGTCCAACGCGATAACCTACCTCCCAACTCCCCTTCCTACTTGTCAAAGGTACGTTCGCCCCCCCCGGGTTGGAACATACCTCACAAGTTCCCTCTCTACGGATATTTCCCTTTCGGATCTCTATCTCTCTCAACGTAATTCAAACTCATCAACTCGACTAGTCGACCAACAATCCCACGGTCCGCCAACCCGACGAGACTTCGTACGCCACCCCGATTACCTTAAGTCAACCGCTTCACGATCTGCTTCAGCTCGAGCTTCACCTTGACGAGATACTCCACCGCTGCGGATTCCAGACCAGACCTAAAACGAAGAGCTTCGGGGTCTATCGCCTTGGGAGGTCCGCTACGGAAACAAGTCCACCTCTCGGCGTTAACAATTCGACCAAGCCACCGCAGTACCGAGCGAATAGCAGCACCCAACCCTCTGCCGCTGCGCTAGCCATCTGACGCTACCTGCTTGCAAATACCGTGACAGGCCGATTTGTTTTAGGCCCTTTTCGTCTTTTACTTCATCCTCGAAACCCCCCCAATTCCTCCTCCCAACTTTGCCGTCTTTCCTTAGACACCCTCCCAGTCCCATTGCGCACAGCGCCGCTCTACAACCACTCCGATCAGCTCGTCGACGATAACCCGCGCACTTCTCGCGCTCATCGGCATCCTCTCACCTTCGTAGCAAACCACGCCCCCGGACCTTGCGTCCCGACGACAACCCCGCGAGTGCCCGGCTTCGGTGAACACCGACTCAATTCGTCCAACATGGACCACATGGGCTTCCAGATGCCTCATATGGGGGGACCGCCCCAGATGATGAACCAGCCGCCCCAGATTTTTGGCGCTTACACGCCCGACGGCCTTCCCGTCACGCATATGCCCCCGGACCTTGCTGCTCACATGTTTGGGGACCCGTCTACCCTCCTCGACGATGCAAACGAGGCAAAGAGAAGAAGGATTGCGAGGGTAAGCATCTAAACTCGCGCGACCATCGCCGGCCCTGCCGTGAAGAAGAGTAGAACGCTTACACCAATCATATGCGCCCACAGGCTTGTGACATGTGTAGGAAGAAGAAAATCAAGTGCGACGGCAAAATGCCTGCCTGCAGCCATTGCATAAACTACAAGACGGATTGCGTATTCACTCAGGTCGAAAAGAAGCGCAATCCGCCAAAAGGGTACGCTGAGATGTGCTCATATAGTCCTTTCCGCGATATCCGACTAACAGGCTGGCCAGAGCTAAATACATTGAAGGGCTCGAGAACCGTCTGGGCCGCATGGAGAATCTGTTGAGGCTGTCAGGTTGGTGATGCATAAATTGATATGCGTCTGCACATGGTTCTAATCGATTGCGTAGGTCTTCTCGGCGAAGACGACGACGGTGACACGGACCTGGGCACACTCGAAAAGCGATTGGCAGAGAAACAACAGCAGTCGAGGCAGGCATCCCAAGCTGCGTCTAACCCAACATCTCCGTCCCAGGCAACGTCGGGGCAGAACGAGGCCATGTCAACGCCGCACAGCGCTATAACGTCACCCGAGCCTACCAAAGAATCGCACAGAGATCCCAAGGATGCAGACAAGCGCCGGGCCTCCGTATCCGAGGAGAAGGGTAACGAAGAAGAGGTCGAGGCGCTTTCAGAGCTCATGTGCTCCCTGGTCACGAACCAAAGTGGCGAGACGCGATACATCGGTTCCTCGTCAGGCTTCTCCATCTTTTCGCCCAAGGGTATTCAGTGGGTGAACGAGAAGACGGGCGACAACTCATTCCAGCAAATGATTTCCGAAGTCTCAATCGACGACCACAAGTGGACCGCCTGGAAACCCGAGGTTTTCAGCGACTTGTTCCGCCGCCCAGTCTTCCGGCCACTGCCTCCCAAGACGGAGGCGTTGTCTCTGCTGAAAGACTTCTTTGAGAACTTCAACTGCATGTTCCCATTGTTTCATCAACCCACGTTCATGCATCTGGTCGAGCGACAATATTCCGACGATCCGTACGAGGGCACTGGCTGGTGGGCTAGTTTGAACTGTGCTCTGGCTTTTGCCCATCGCCTGCGTGTCATGAGTAATCTTGTACCGCAGGAGGAGGACGATAAGGCTTGGGGTTACATGAAGAACGCGTTGGGAACTTTTGCCGAATTGTCGATGCGCAACACAGATTTGCTGAGTGTACAGGCCTTGCTCGGAATGGCCCTCTTTATGCAAGGAACTCCCAACCCTCAACCGACATTCCTTCTGGTCGCCACATCCATTCGTCTTGCACATAGCATTGGCCTTCACAAGAGAGGGACTGGCTTCAACCTCAACCCAATTGAGATTGAGCAGCGTAAGCGAGTCTTCTGGATCGCCTACATGCTGGATAAGGACCTTTGCCTCCGAGCGGGCCGCCCGCCAGCTCAGGACGATGACGATATGAACGTCGAGTTACCCGATGCTGATCCGGAAGATAACATTGGTAACATTCCTCTGGCTGATGGTAAGGGTAAGATGAACCTTTTCCGGGTCATGTGCGAGTTTGCGACAATTGAAAGCAAGGTCTACTCTCGACTGTACTCGACCAAGGCCACAAAGCAATCGAGCGGAGAGCTCCTCAACACCATCGGAGAGCTCGATCAGGAACTCGAGGAATGGAAGGACAGAATTCCCATCGATTTCAGACCAGAGCACGAGATCAAGGCATCGCATACGCCTCTCATCTTGCACGTTGCCATGCTCCACTTGACTTACTACAACTGCTTGACGACGATCCACCGCATGTCAGTCCACCACGGCTACTGGACGAGTCGCCTGTCCAACTATGCCATTCAGGGTCTCAACGCCAAACCCCTCAATCCTCGTGTCTTCTCTTCTGCGGCGCTCTGTACCGCTGCCGCCCGAGCGTCGATCTCGCTTCTTAAGTACATGCCACAGGGAGATTCTCCAAGTGTCTGGTAAGTCGAGTCAAAACGCTGATTGTTGAGCCTATGATAACTAACCTCGTCTCATAGGCTTATTCTGTACTTCCCAGTATCGGCCTTGATGACATTATTCGGAAATATTCTGCAGAACCCAATGGACCCAAGAGCCAAGTCGGACACCAAGTTGATGAATCTCGTGGTCAACTTCTTGTCCATGCTCGGTCAAGAAGCAGAGACCGGAGGTGTGCACCGTATGCTCGGAGTGTGCTCAGAGTTTGAGAGGATAGCCAAGCTCGTCATCGAAAAGGGGGAGAAGGAGCAATCTTCGCGGAGGAAGCGAAAGAGCGACGCCGCTGTCAAGACGTCGTCAAGTCCCGCCGCATCAACACACACACCCAGGCCTGTCTCAGTCACCACTCCAACTCCCCAAACCGTGAACGGTGCAGCTACATCATCGACGACGAACGGCCAATTATCACCAGACTTTAATGGAGAAGCGAATCGGAGGAGGCACGGCTTCAGCCCCATGACGACAACATCAATGCGAGAACCATCGCCGGCACTCCCGTCTGCCGGATGGCCGCAGGAGTTCAGCATACCAGAACAACCAAACTTCAACAACTTTGGCGAGATGACAGGATTCGCAGGGCCCAACAGTGCTCGATCGCCGCCAGTAAACATGGGCGGACCGTTCCAGCAACCTCTCCTGCCGCAAGATCTGTTCGCCCTCCCCATGACTCTAGACTGGGACTGGGCAGAGATGAGCGGCGGTGCGTACCCGACTGTGGAAAACGGCAATGTGGGTTAATTGATCTCGGAATCCTCGGAGCAAGTCCGAAGCGCTGGAATATTTGATTCGACGGACAACCGCGTCAACAAGTGGTCATTGGACAGAACATTTTAGGTTGCATAATGTGCATATATGAGACGACATCACGAACCATTTAACGCATGTACGAGTAATTGGCCTGCTGAACGAACGGAGCTGTGGCTGGGAGACTTGTAGGGAGAATCTAGCTTATTACGCTGCACCCTGCCAAAGAGTGGCGGAAATGACATTCAAGACTACCAAGGCGATGTTCAAGATTTGTTCTCTATGTTGAAAAGGTCATGTGATATTCGTATAATGTGCACATTTGAATGACAGGAGTACTTGTTCTTGGCCAACAACGGTAGCGTAGCAAAGCATCGAGCGATACTCCGTACTGCGTAGACATTACTGATGATGTACGTAAGTAGTCGGTGGCCTGAGAATCGAGCGAGCGGGCGGGACCACTCTAGACCCTGCCCGCCGACGCGTGGTATAAATGGAATTCAAGGTGTCATTCATTATTATCGGAGTTTGCGGGCGGAAAGGTCCTTCTTAGCCGAGAACGGGGGGCGCTGGAGGCGGCAGCGGTGGGCCCGGGGGTTTTGCTGGATGGCTGCGGACGGAGTTTGACAGTCACGTGCACCGCTAAAATCTCGGCCTCAATGGGGCCCGACATGAACTCATCACTATGGGAGCTTTTGCCATCGTACAGTCATCCCGGGAACACCTGGTCCAATTACCAACCACGCCTTGTACGATTTTCTCTCACCACCAACGCTGCAACCAAGTGCGGCTGGTGCTCTACATCGCCATCAGAAACCCATTGACACCCGACCTACCACTGTACCAACGACTACCGGGGCGCATCAATGAGATAGCATATTGCTGCACGCGGTTAATACTCCCTCCTACCCGACTCCGGTCGTCCCGCCTCGACACCCCGCGACATACAGACACAGCACAACACCATGGCGAGGTTCCTCCGCCAGTCCGCACAGCTCGCGCGAGCTGTAAGGATCGCTCAGCAGCCGGTAACACGTATGCGCTTTCAGCCCTCTAGAATAGCACGACTCGGCCCGCAAGCTCCGCTAGCTTGCTATCGATCGCGGTTTTATTCGACAAACGGCCCCGAGCCCCCAAAGAACGAAAAGGAGACAAATGAGAAGCAACCTGAGAAGAAGGAAGATGCGCCTGAGAAGAAGCTGTCCAAAGAGGAGCAAATAAGGAAAGAATGGCCGTTGCCCGAAGGATGGGTCTACCTCAACGAGGAGGAGATTGAGAACTTGCTCAAAATGGGACAGAACGACAGACTGCCTCGGTTCCAGAAGGAATTCTTCATCAAGAGTGTGGAGGAGATGAAGCTGTTGGGAGCTCCTCAGGAGCTGAGGGATCTTCTGTTGACACTGAGGGAGCGGAAGCTGAAGATGACGGTCACCGACATCGCCAAGATTCTCCGCGTCTCGACGCAGGTCGCAAAGAGGTTCTCCGAATACGAGCAGACTGTGCTTATGCGCGAGGAGCAAAATCCGACAAAGGAGAAGGAGGACGGCGCAAAGGACTCCCAGCAGGGCGAGCAGGGCAAGCAACAGAAGGAAGGGCGCAACTCCAATTCGGAGGGCAACGAGGGCGCACCGGGCGGTGGATTGGGCGGCAAGAGATGGATTTTTGGCATGCTTAGCACCGGCGACCTGATTGTTGCTGCCATCGTCTGGATCGTCGTCCTGCCCTTCTTTGAGTCCATGATCTTCGGCCAGGAGAAGGAGATCACATGGCAGGAGCTGCGAAAGAACTTCCTGGACAAGGGTCTGGTCAACAAGCTGGTGGTCATCAAGAACCCTGGCCGCGTGCGCGTTGAGCTGAACAGGGATGGAGTGCAGTCGGTGTACGGCGGAAACGAGGGTGTCAACCCCAACATGCAGTACTACTTTTCCATTGGCTCAGTAGAGATGTTCGAGAAGCAGCTCGAGGACGCCCAGAACGAACTCGGCATCCCTACCTCGGAGCGCATTCCCGTCAGCTACGCCAGCGAGGGTGGCATCATGCCCTTGGTCTACGCTTTCGGTCCCACACTCCTTCTGGTTGGTCTGCTCTACTACACTACAAAGTCGATGGGTGGACGTGGCGGCAACCAGATGTTTGGATTCGGCAAGAGCAAGGCCAAGAAGTTCAACCACGAGACAGCAATCAAGGTCAAGTTTGGCGACGTTGCCGGTATGGACGAGGCCAAGACGGAGATTATGGAGTTTGTCAGCTTCCTCAAGACTCCCGAGCGCTTCGAGAGGTTAGGCGCAAAGATCCCTCGTGGCGCCATCCTTGCCGGACCTCCAGGAACCGGTAAGACGTTGCTTGCCAAGGCCACCGCCGGCGAGTCTGGTGTTCCCTTCTTCAGCGTCAGCGGTTCCGAGTTTGTCGAGATGTTTGTCGGTGTCGGTCCTTCAAGAGTGCGAGACCTGTTTGCGAATGCCCGTAAGAGTGCCCCCTGCATCATCTTCATCGATGAGATCGACGCCATTGGTCGATCAAGACAGGAGGGTAACCGAATGGGTGGCAACGACGAGCGCGAAGCAACTCTGAACCAGATCTTGACCGAGATGGACGGTTTCAACACCCAGGAGCAGGTTGTTGTCCTCGCTGGCACCAACAGAGCCGACATCCTTGACAAGGCGCTGATGCGTCCCGGCCGTTTCGACAGGCACATCTTTATTGATCGCCCGACCATGAAGGGTCGCCAGGAGATCTTCAAGGTGCACCTGGCCAAGATTGTTACCAAGGAAGACATGGACCACCTCATGGGCCGTTTGGCAACTCTGACTCCCGGTTTCTCCGGTGCTGACATTGCCAACGCCGTCAACGAGGCTGCCCTGGTTGGTGAGTTTGATATGATTTCTAGTTTCTAATCTGCCAAATATGCTAACTTTGTTATAGCTGCGCGTGCCAATGCCGAGTCAGTGGAGATGATTCACTTTGAGCAAGCCATTGAGCGTGTCATCGGAGGTCTCGAGCGCAAGTCTCTTGTGCTCAACCCCGAGGAGAAGAAGACGGTGGCCTACCACGAGGCTGGCCACGCCATCTGCGGCTGGTACTTCAAGAACGCCGACCCCCTCCTCAAGGTTTCCATCATCCCCCGTGGCCAAGGTGCATTGGGTTACGCCCAGTACCTTCCTCAGGGCGATGCCTATCTCATGACTGTCCAGCAGCTCATGGACCGCATGGCCATGACGCTCGGCGGACGCATCTCGGAGGAGCTTCACTTCCCCACCGTCACGACAGGCGCCAGCGACGACTTCCGCAAGGTCACGCACATGGCGCGCAAGATGGTGACGCAGTGGGGCATGTCGGAGAAGGTCGGCCCACTGCACTTTGACGACGACCCGAACACGCTGCAGAAGCCGTTTGCGGAGGCGACGGCGCAGGCCATTGACGCCGAGGTGCACCGCATCGTGGAGGAGGCCTACAAGCAATGCCGCGACCTGCTGACGGAGAAGAAGAAGGAGGTCGGCATCGTGGCCGAGGAGCTCCTCAAGAAGGAGATGCTGACGCGCGACGACCTGGTGCGCCTACTCGGCCCCCGGCCGTTTGGCGACAACCAGGAGTTTGAAAAGTACTTTGGCGGACAGGGGCAGAAGAGCGCGCCGCCGCCGTTCCCCACGGAAGAGGTCGATAGCCCGCCTGAGCAGCCGCCCGTCGGCCCGTCGCCGACTTTCAAGAGCCTTGAGGATGCGCCGAGGAGATGAGGGATGTATGTGGCTGTAGGAGGATGACGAGGAGAAGGGTGTATCGTAGGACGGTGGCATGCGGACACCAACATGCCGCAAATTGTATTTTTTTTATCAACACCCCCCGGTTTCTCCCCCTTAAAAAGAATTAGGCTATCTCTCTATCTCTCTCTCAACTCTTGCCCTTTATGGCGGATGTGTTACTAGTAGAAGGCATATCATCATCATCATTGGGGGCTTTTCTTTTCCTGGAGTAAAGATGGGGGGGAACAACTTTCTTCATAGTGTTGTACTTGTAGGAAATTATGTAGATACATCTCTACCTATTTTTATTGCTTCCATTCTTTGAAAAAATCATGATGGAGTTGTGGAGTGAAGATGTATGCTGTGCAGAGGGATGATTGAGGGCAGGCTGCCTCTCCTTGATGCCGTTTGTGATTTTGGGAGGTTTGTGTGGTGGCCGGTGCTTTGGATGCCTCTTTTGACATGATTGAGAGGGCTGGTGGTTCGACCTGGGTAGAAATCTAGACTGGTTTTCTGTGTTTTGAACTGCGTGGTGCAGGTTGCTGGCCTCGGTCCTTGGCGATGCGAAAGGACAAGAGGATGTCCCCTCATGGCGGGGACACTACCTTGGGTTACTAACGTCATGGTGTTCTGATTTCAACGTACTGTGCAATCTAGGTACTGCTCGATAATCGAAGTTCTACAAGAGCACACATACTCTCCGCGAACAACATCACTTGTAACAAACTGATGCCGTTTGAACAGCCCTCCAAGGGGGGTCTTGGAGACTTTGGATGTGACCTATGGCGAATGGAGCCCGTCGCAGTTTGCTACGAGGGGACTCATTATTATTTTTCACGCTTCGGCTGTAATTCGTGCCGTTTGCCCTCTGATTGTAGGAAAAAGAACCATTTCTGAGGATTGGGGAGGGATCAAACTAGGTAATGCGAATCATGAGCGTGACAGCGAACGGAGTCGGCGAACATCGGTGAAGGGTGAGACTTTAGTCACCTCTTTTCCAAGAACCCCGATCAAGCCAATCCGTCGCAAACCGCAAAGAACGTTACTGGGTCGGATGGGTGCCGACCTCTTGGAAGTGCAGACTAGGTCCTTTAGGACATGGTAACCGGGTACGGGATTTGATAGTCAGGATAGTAAGTCTCTTGATTGACCTCATTCCAAGCATGACCAACCGTTTTTGGACTCTAGAAAGTATGATGCTTTTCAGAGGCTTCCATCCATCTTTGAACTCAACGCAACGAATCGATTTTTGAAGGGTGCCGCAACCCGGCGACCCGGGACCCCGAGACTGCAGGGACGAAGATGGACCGATATATCCAGCGAGAATTGGGATTGGCACCGAGGCGAATGATTGGTCCACACCACATATACACACGGTCACACAGCACAGAGTTACGACAAAAGAGAGAAGAGCAGCGTGCATGCGCAGGGCGCACTAGGAGAAGGTGGTCCCGATCCTGTGGGCAAGGTAGATGGGTAGATGGACGTGTGCCGGTGCTGGCCGTGTGACTGGGTTTGTACTGGATAGAACGTGTAATCGGCGCCCGCCCGCCGCCGAGTACAAGTGCCGCGCGAAAGGAGTGAGAAGAAAAAAGAAGGTTGCCGATCGTTTTGTGTAATTTTGCCGACGGATCTTGACGCAAGTCAAGCACCCAACTTCCTGGTACGAGGTAAGTAAGTATCCGTAAGCCTCTTTGGTGGGAAAAAGTTCAGTGGGAGAGAGCTTTGGGCCCAGGTGAACTTTGGCCCCGTCGTCCTTTGCTTGCCGTGCCCTTTTGCTTGCTTACATCGGGGTAAAAAGATGGCTAACCTAAACGGCGCAAGAGTCTGACGGACTAGAGGAGCACGAGGGCACGAACTAATGTGTGACTGTTGACTGCAGAATACCTACCTTAGATCTAACTGCGTAGTACTCCGTATCCGTAGACGTCATTGGTAATTCTTCAGTAAGACGAACTACTTACCCTTTCAGTAAGAAAACCACAACAAGGCGCGCGCACCGCAGCGGGATTCCCTCGTACGAGGTTAGGTATCCCGTAGGTAGGTAGACGAAAGCGACCAGAAAAAAAAAGAGGGTATCGAATAAATCATTCATTCTGCCCAGGCAGAAATTCAGTCTAGTTCCAGCAGAGCCAATCAAGAGCGTCGATTTCATTCCCATTTTTTGCTTCGGGTTTCCAAGACTGGGGGTGCCGGGGGGGAAAGGGTGGGAGGAGGAGAGACAATGAAAATACCTGGATATCAAACACTTCCAGGTGCCAAGGTACCTAACGGAGGGCGGCTATACTGCAGATATGCACGTGGCGAGAAAGTTGCTTCGGCGGTCGGCCTTTGTCAGTTTTTTTGGTGACCAGACGGCTGGCTGACTCGGCGAGGAGCGGTGACGGCAAGGAAGCGGGAGGCGACCGACGGCGGCGTGGTGGAGGGAGGGGGGGAGGAAGAACTGATGAGGTGGGATACCTGTGACCTGCCCGAAGTATTGGTGGTGTACGGAGTAATACAGTAGGAGCTTCCGTCATGACCGTGTTATCCGTCACCTCTCCTCTGTGTGAGTGCGACAACTCTATCATGATGATGCCAAACTCTCTCTTTCTCTCTTTCTCGGAAAATCACTCACATAATCTCATTGCCATCGTAAGATATCGCCGCTAAATTCCATCCAAGATCGCTCCCTATTCGAGATCTCCAGCGGGGTGGGGCCGTGTCGTCTTTCGAAATTTGTCTCGCCGACCAATCTAGATTCAGCGTTTTCCGTCAGGACCAGGAACTCTGGAAATCAATCATCCTCTTTTCGGTCTTGTCTCCCCCCCTTGTCTCTTTGCGTAACTTTTCTTCCTCCTTCTGCGACCAAATTCAGGTCTGTCGTTACATTTCGCGCCTCTTTCAATATCCACTCAATTCCAACTTCAACCTGCGGACCCCGTATTCACTGCCGGTTTTCCTCTGGACTCTCGCGGCGCGTAGACGATCCCGCGATCTCCACTCCGTCATTGAGAGACAATAATCCCTCCCGGCTTGGCTTGGGTTTGTTGGAGACGTGAGGCGAAGGAAACCTTGCCTCGGCCGCCCGTCGCTCTAGTCTGTTCTACGGATATCCCCCTCTGTACGGATACACATCTTAAATACGACCGCCAACGCGCCCTCTCGGGCGAGGGCGCCTTCAGACATCACGAGTTCCCCAAGTTGCCACCGCCCGACACTCAGTATACGAAGAGTCTCAACCAGTTCGGCGGAGTTGAAACAGAGCTTCAAGACGGATTTGAAGGCTCTTTGTGTTCCCCTGCCGACATGATTGCGTATCGGCCTCGAATCGTGTTTTGTTGAACTCGTTATTGGCCCTTGTTTCTACACCTCTGCATTGCTTTCTTTCCATTGTTTTGATTCAGCATTTTGTTTAGAAGAGACTCTCGTCTCTTGTCGCAAGGCATCATAATCAGCAGTTCCACTGTTACCAACCGCCAAGCCAGACCTCTTTTACACGTAATCCGATACTTGATCCACTCGACGACGAAAACGACGGCGACGACAACGACGGCCATGGTATCTAACATCGACGAAAAGGCGGTCCTGCCGGGTCGACGCCCCTCGCCCGCGCAGGACGCCACACGGAACGACAGCACCGGCACCGGCACCGGCTCCGGCAACCGGACCTCGCGCAGGCCGGGCGGCTGGTGGAAAGTGCACCTTTTCCGCGGCATGGTCAACGACCTCCGTCGTCGGGCGCCTTTTTACGTCAGTGACTGGACCGATGCCTGGGACTATCGTGTGGTACCAGCCACGGTCTACATGTATTTTGCAAAGTACGTCCGTCTCGTTGTCATCCTCTGTGGATCTGATCCATCTATCCCTCTCGGCAAGCATGATGTTTAGCCAGCCGTATGCCAGGATGGAGACACGACTTATTTGTCTAACCCATTCTTTACGGGGTTGCCTTCCATGTCTATTGCTACTACTTCCCTGGTTACACTCGATACCAGGCTTGTTGACACTCGGCTGACCGGCTTTGCAGCATCTTGCCCGCTTTGGCATTCTCCCTCGACATGTTTACGAGCACGGGATCGACGTACGGAGTCAACGAGGTCCTCCTAGCTTCCGTTCTCGGGGCTGTGGTCTTCTCTCTACTGGCTTGCCAACCTCTGGTCATTGTCGGCGTCACAGGCCCCATCACCGTCTTCAACTACACCGTGTACGACATCATGGAGCCAACCGGCACAAACTACCTAGCATTCATGTGCTGGATCGGCCTGTAAGTCACATCAACCCTTTTCCTTTATTTCATCACCTTGTCACGTACTGACGAAGCATTCAACGGAGCAGGTGGTCACTAGTTTTCCACTGGATCCTCGCCGTCACGAACTCGTGCAACTGGCTCCGCTACGTCACGCGCTTCCCCTGCGACATCTTCGGCTTCTACGTGGCCTTCATCTACCTCCAAAAGGGCATCCAGGTCCTCCAGAGGCTGGGCGACGCCGAGCCCTTTTACCTCTCTATCGTCGCCGCCCTGCTCGTCTTCATGGTCGCCTACCTCTGCGCCGGTGTCGGCGGGAGCAGCCTGTTCCACCACCACGTCCGCGTCTTCCTCAAGGACTACGGCACCCCGCTCACCCTCATCTTCTTTACGGGGTTTGTGCACATTGGCAGGATGGAGCCCGTCGATCTGGAGGTGCTGCCTACTGGTATCGCCTTCATGCCCACGGCGGATAGGAGTTGGCTTGTGGACTTTTGGAACATTCCTGTCGGGGATGTCTTCCTGGCCATTCCCTTTGCCATCCTCTTGACCATTTTGTTTTGGTTCGATCACAACGGTAAGGAGCATACACTCGACTCTCCCCATCCAAGGCTTCGCAAAACTAATACGAGCTCGCAGTATCTTCACTCATCGCACAGGGAACCGAGTTCCCGCTCAAGAAACCCGCTGGATTCCACTGGGACCTCTTCTTGCTCGGCCTCACAACGGGCGTGGCGGGCATCCTCGGCCTGCCGTTCCCAAACGGCCTCATCCCGCAAGCCCCGTTTCACACCGACTCCCTGACAGTCAGCAAATCAGAACCCGAGACGGACGAAAAGGGCGAGTTCAAGGGCAGCTACGTGACAAAGGCCTCGCATGTGGTAGAACAGCGCGTGTCCAACCTGGCCCAGGGCCTCCTGACCCTCGGCACGATGACGGGCCCCCTGCTCGTCGTCCTCCACCTCATCCCGCACGGCGTGCTCGCCGGCCTCTTCTTCGTCATGGGCGTGCAGGCCCTCGAGGGCAACGGCATCACCCTCAAGATCCTCTTCCTCCTGCGCGACAAGAACCTGACGCCGCCGGGCCACCCGCTGAAGCAGATCCGTCGGCGCCGCGCCATCTGGGAGTTTGTGGCTATCGAGCTCGTCGGGTTCGGCGCCACGTTTGCCATCACGCAGACCGTCGCCGCCGTGGGGTTCCCCGTTTTTATCATGCTGCTTATCCCTATCCGCGCCTGGCTTCTGCCGCGCTGGTTCTCGCCCGAGGAGCTGGGCGCGCTTGACGAGGCTACGGCGTCGCCTTTTACTATGGAGGGTATCGGTGGTGTACATGGGGGCGGGGACTCGGGCGATGATTCGGACGGGACGCGGGTGTCTGATTATGATAATGATGGGGAGGAGGGACGTGGTGGTAGGCAGGCATCGGGGAACGGAGATGGCATCTTTGCGTCGGCGGAGGAACCGGGGAGAAGTCGGGAAGACGTGGCGGAGATGGGACAGTCGCGGAGTGTGCAGGGTGCGGGAACGACGACGAGGAGAGGAGGGCACGCTGCGACGGCTGATTGAGGTCAGCGATGATGTGATGCAAGATCGAAGAGTATTAGAGAAATACCGTAATGCTTGATTAGTAAAGTCAATACCCAAGAACATTTACCACTATTGAAATATTGACGGTAGGAAAAGGGTGTTTGGAAGGTGGCCTTGGCCCTTCCACCTACTTACAATCAATGGAGGCTACGTCCACCAACCTCCTCCTGCCACATACATACGAACTTAAATACAGATTACTGCGTTATATACCAACCGGAAAGCTGCTTTGCTGGCGTGTATACAAACACCTAACAAAGTGTGTTTAGTTGGCGTTGATCAGTATATCAACGCACCTTGCTCCGTGTCCAGTCCTACTCAGTTCCAGGGACAGTGAACTTCCCGGCAACGTGTCAACGAAGAAGAAAGAACACATGTTCTTCTCACAAAATTACAACGGTAGACTCTGACCAAGGCAATGGCTGGACAGCTTTACACGTCAGTAATGGGATTGACACATTGATTCTGGGCAGTAGGAGCGGTCAGCGTCCGCTCGGCCCAGGACGCCCCGCAAGCCCGTTTAGGCAATCGGGGTCTTTGTGATTGGCTTCCAGTTTTCCCTGACGCGAAGCCGATGGAGTTTGGTCCGTCATCGCTTAGCAAGTTAGTATCGGTTCTGCTGGGGGAGGGACGAGCCTGCGAACAGGTACCTTAAGAATCATTGGCTTCTGAAGAATCTTGACTGTAGTCTGTTTGGTGGGCGAGAAGAAGTGACTACCGTATAATTGACAGGAACGGGGACGGGACGTTGGAATTAAGGATGCGGCGGTGGTCAGTGCGCCTCGCACCACACTTCTCTTCCACAACCCCACGATTCCTCACTCTTCATCCTCTTTACCGTCTCTCCCACATCATCTCTTTCGCCTGACGTCGGCTTCAACACTGGGCGGCAATCGATTGAGTTGTCGTCGTCGTCTTCGCCGCCTGATTCTCAGCTACGTTCCATGTATGATGGTCTTGGCAACCCTGGGCCGCTCGCTCGACTACAGCTCTGATCTTGACTTCGTCGCCAAATTAAGCGTTGAAGCGTGCATGGCTCGCTCGTTGTCTACTAGGCCTGACGTTACGTTACTGTATCGTCTCGGCTGAGGTCGACACGGTTTGCAAAACTCGCATCTCGGAGAGAAACCATCAACCTTCAAGGGTCTCTTTCTAGCGGCATATGGGAAACCAGGTTCGTGCCATGATCGGTAGCTCACTGACCCTTCCCCGCCACGGGAAGCTTGCAATATCGGACAGCTTCCGCCATTGGCTCGCCTTGGACTCGAAGCCTTCGACGGCATGAACCCGGGGGGTCACGCCGACCCTCTCGTCAGGTCCTCTCGGCAACGTCCTCCGTGATAGGCCGTCTCCTGCAGGGCAACCTGGTAAGGTATGAGGAACTTCCGTCGCTCAACTGAGAGACCCAATCATCACATCTCCCCAAGGTCAACAAAAGGGTCTGGTACCGAATACGCAGTCATCTTGCTTCACTCCCAGCATTAAACCCCGCATCATACCCAACAATGAGGTACCTCAGAGTACCGAGAGCCTTGGTGTGGTTGGGCACTCGCGGAGCCCTATGTCCTCCACCTATCATGCTGCGGCGGCCGGTTCTCTGTCGTCGGCCGTCGGTCGTCTGCCTCCGGATACACGCATCGAGTCAAGCGTCTTCTCGCGAATGAACGAAGGCCAGCTGTCGCCCGATCTGACGCCTCGGGAACTAATCGCCTTGGCCCAGCCTGGATGAAGACACGCCCCCCCCTCCCCGCCTCAACTACATTGAAGCAGCTGTCGGCCTGGACAATCGCGGCCTCTTGCATGTCTTGCGCATCTCTACTTCCGTATTACTTCGGCAAAGGTTGACTTTAACTTGGCCTCATGTAGCCGATTATACCCACGCGTAAGTGACCATCTACTGCAGTCTCTCCGTCGATCTGACAACCCTCACGACGTACAGCCCGCCAGTCCTCTTCATAAGTACGGAAAATCCGGGGGTCACAACGTACCGTGCCATCCAGACCCCATCCCCATGGGGTAGCACAAGGTTAATACTCTATCCCTCGGGTAGCTGGAGCTTAACTCTGATACCACGTTCCAGTAATTTATCCAGCTCTCGGGGAGGTTGGGGCATTGGCCGGCCGCCTACCTGCCATTCAAGCGGGCTATGCCTGTGTCATCTGTCACTGGGAGGAGTTGATAACCCACAGCGGGCGGTTCTGTCAAAGGCTCGAAGCAGTTGCCGCATACAGGATGCGGAACCAGGTACAACTTTGCGAGCCAACAGCCGAGACAACAGATCCGGGAAAGGCCTTCCTTTTTTGTTTCATGCTTTCTTTTTCTCCTTTTCGCCCTCACAAATCCTGCTTTGGTCCCGGATCATGTATCCCTGCTGTCAGATGAGTTACCGTAGCAAGTAGCTGCCGCAGAATGTCTCTTTTCCTCGCTGCCCCCATCATACGGGGTAGAGTCCTAAAGGCCTGACGTTAAAGACATTCTTGAAATGGCCTGCCGCCTGCTGCCCAACGTCGAAACCACATGTCTCTCTTGTACTCCACAGAGGTTTCGCCTCAGCATGCAAGTGGTGCAAGGCAGTAGGACAAAGACAGAACAGGATAGGACGGGACAGAGGAATTCTCATCTCCATCGCCCAAAACCACGCGATCCAAAAGTTTACCTGTGTATCGTGGCAGATCCGATGCTTACGGCACGATTCAGAGGGCCGCGGATCTTTGCCATACCGCAGCGTGGCTTGAGGTAGTACTTGGAGAGAGACAACGGCTACTGCTGCTACCTCGGATACTTAGCGGTAAATGTATCCATCACAATGACACTCGGTCTCCTGAGAAGAGATGGTGATGGCCTGATGGCTGTACCCTTGGATCACAGACAGCCACGGCAGGGGTTGGGAAGGGGGAGGCGTGCACGTCCAACAAGGTGATCAGGAACCAAAACAAAACAGGACGAAGTGTGTAGGTAGCGGGTACTTCTCCGTTGTGTCTTGTTTGTACGCCTCTCGGTTTTGAGACAGAGAAAAGACGAATGACACCGGCACCGTCCCTCGCCACTGATATCCCCGCCATTCCGGGCGGAAGGCATGGCTTCACGGGAAAAGGGGGGAGGGGGTGTGTAACCGTCCAGAAAGGGCCACGCTCGTTGGCATCGGTTCCTTTGAGCTTAAGCTTAATCGAGTTGACTCCGACGAAGCCGATCTCGACCGTGAGCAGTGAATGGAGGGGGTAACCTAACTGCATGGAGGACTCATTCAGAGTATGCAAAGTCGGGCGACCTTGGCGAAAAAGCTTACTGGCATCGGGTCTACGGTACAGCTTCAATCATCATCTTTTGCCTGTTCCTTTGGAAAAGGAGCTTGGGCATACTGCGTAGCATTATCTACTACCTCCCGGTCTTACGAGGTTGTATCCTCGATCTTGAGGGTCTCATCGCTCTGTTCAAAGGACCCCGAGTAGCCTTGGATGGCCTCCGTCTGGTCGGGTTAAGTTCGTAGGTAAGGTAAGCTGCAGTAGGCCCGGCGGCGGTACGGTGAGGGGGAAGGGGGGTCTTACAGCTGCCAGAAAGATATACCCACTGCCTACTTACTTAGCATTGACAAGAGCAAGAGTAAGAAGAGCCCTCCATTGAGCTGCGAGGCCAGAGCAAGAGGCAAAGAAAAGAGTAGGATCGTGGGGGAGGAACCGGCGAGCTCGTCCGTCTTGACAGCTCCCGTGATTCCTCCCGCCCCCCCTTGCCCGGACCAGCACCGCCGAGAATGAAGCCGGCGGAGGAAGCGGACGGGCGGGCGGGGACCAACCAGATTGCAGCATGTGGACGCTTTCGGCCGGATCGCAACTAGTTTCCGGTGATGAGGAACCGGGGGGCAGATTGGTGGAGGGAAACCGCTCGTGACCAACAACAATGCAAACTACACTGCACTTGTTGTTAAGCAGGTTGAGGAATCATTCGGCTATGGAGGTCAACTTCCTGGGTTCACTCATAGAGTCAGATCACTCGATGACCCGGCATACGGTTTATCTCTGTTTTGGGAAGGGCGGTTAGGTAGGGACGTGGTAAGGTAGCTAAGCTCACAATCGACCTCGGTTCCGTTTTCAAGGGCGGGATGAGGCGAGACGAGACGAGACGTCCAGAGTTACATGAGGCAAAGTCCACAGTCACCCATCACAAACACGATTGTTGGAAAGAAAACCTCGGTAAGGACGGCGACGGTAGGGAGTGGGTGGCCTTCTCTCTCTCGCTAATAACCGAAGCTAAACTTGCAGCCCATCACTTCTTTCTTCCGTCTCGGGATATTTTCTTTTTTCTTTCCCCTCCTCTCTTTGAAACCACCCCCCCTTCTCCTCCCGCCTGTTCAGTTTCTCAAAGGTAGTCCAGCCCCCTCGTGAGATCTCAAATCCTACTGCAAGGTTGTGATGGCGGCTGAATCCACGCCGACGGGTTTTAGCTTGGGCTAGGTTAGCTTGGTTTTCTCGGCAGGTTCAGCACACCTCTCTGAGGCACATCATGTCTTTAATGAATCAAAGTGGTAGGTATTTGTATATACTAAAAACTTCCCTATTCTGCTATCAAACTCAAAATGGAAACCAAAAAATCACATCGAGATACGTTTTGACGTTTGGAGAAGGGGGTATTTTGATAGAGCACAAATTTTCAAGAACAGAAAAAACCATGACACCCAGTCCTTGGGAAGCACTCAAGAGGAAAAGGAACAGATAGAGAGGAGTTTGCAGTAAAAGACAGAAAGGTCCCTTTTTGTATGTCATTTGGGGGATATATGGAGTTGCCAAAAAAGTAATATGTGCATAGAGCAGAAGAAAATAAAAAAAAAGACAAAAACAAGAAAGACAGAAAATTGTGAGCTTTCGTCTCATCATACAAGAAACCCAAGAAGCGAAAAACCAAAAAACCAAAAAAAGGCCAAACCAAAATCAACAAACGCAAGAGAGAGTCATGTCGTTGGAGCAGCGCGCTCGCATACCCCTTATTCTAAGAACAGGTAAAAAGTATCAGATTTTCCGACCCAAAAAACCAAAGCAAAATGTTTCCGGATTTCCCCCCTTCCGTTTGTCTCTTCCTCCCTTCCTTTGCCTTGGGGTATCTTTGGGGGTTTTGGCCAACTTTCCAAGTATGGTCCACATGAGATTTGTGTTTTTTTCTTCTTTTTCTTTTTTGGTTCTCTTTTACTTCTCTTTATGCTGTGCTTCCGTATGCCTGAGGTCCGGGTGCGGGTCCAGGGCCGGCCGGTGCTCCGCTCGAGAAGCTTCTCTTCCTCTTCAGCGCGCCGAACTCGTGTCCGTACTCGTCTCCTCCTCGCTGTTGTTCCTGGTGATGTTGCTGCTGCTGCTGGTGGGCGTACTCGCCATTGTGGGCGCCGTGAGGGGGGTGCTGAGGCGGCATCGGGCCGCCGCCGCCAAAGGTGTCGCGCATGGGCGTCCTGGAGCTGGAGGTGTTCATGCTGGCGTGGAAGGCCTGCGAGAAGTCGTTGGGCGCGGCGATGGGCGCGCTCATCTGCGGCATCGAGTAGTCCTGGACGCCGCCGGGTCGGGCGCCGGGCGTGCGGGGCAGGGAGAAGTCGACGGGCGCGGTGAGGGGAGCCGAGGGCAGGCTGGAGGTGTAGGCGAACTGGGCCGAGGTGGCGCGAGGGGCCGGAGAGTGGCCTGGGGGCGGGACGGAGCCGACGGAGCGGTACTGGTTGCGGAGGTCGAGGCCGAGAGTGCCTGACGAGGCGCGGGCGCGAAGGCGGTTTGGCGGGCCGCCGGGGAAGCTCGAGTAGTTCATGCCGGGAGGTGAGTTGTTGCCTACGTTCAGGGTTAGTGACACTAGTTTTCTATGAGATGATGGTTGAAAAACATACTGGAGTAAGAGCTTGACTCGTAGGGGAGGCCGCTGCTCGAGGGGCCGCTCATCTGCTCTGGCTGGTAGACCGACTGCTGTCTTCCACTCAGCTGAGGGCTTCCGCCGGCTCCATGGTGATATGTGCTGTAGTCGATCGCGTCGCCCTTCCAGGACATGCTGGAGCGGAGAGGAGAGTTGAGGTCCGACCTTGACCGGTTCATGGTCTCACGGAGCTGGAGAGGCTGGAGAGGTCGGCTCGGCTGGCCACGGTGCATGGACATGGAGTTCTCGAGGGCGCCCTGTCGCGCAAAGGGGTTGGAGGTTCGGGGGCCGGGGCCCATGGGCGACAGGTGGCTGCCGTAGCCGTAGCGGTGGTCGCCAGTCGAATTGGGCGTCATGGGAGACAGGATATCCGGGCTGCTCATGGTTCCCGGGGGAGTAAATCCGATGCTTCCAAATCCAGGGCTGAGTCCCGTAGACGACATGTGCTCCTCGCCACCCTCTGCCCTGCGGACGTCGACCATCAAAGGACGAATCATGTGGTCGGCGTATGACTGTGTTCCAAAGTTCATGGGGGATGACATGGGAGTGTTGAGACCGTGGACCGCGCCGTAGGGGGAGTGAAGAGCCTGAACGTTGTCAAAGTCGTCGGGAACCGCACGCATCTTGATCATGCGGTCACGGTCATCGGCTGTGAGACGCTTAATCTTCGCACGGCTATTCGGTGAACAGGATTAGTTCCACCGTCTCTTTGAGGTTGTTAGGTTGCGAGCAGACTCACCGGTTCTGGAACCAGACTTGTACTTGGCGAGGGCTCAGGCCGGGGATCTCCCTTGAGAGGCGTTCTCTGTGGGCGGCATCAGGGTGAGGCTGCTTGGCGAATTCACTCATCAGGAATCTCGTCTGTTGGTGTGTGAGACTGTCATTGTGGTCAGTATGCCGCTAACAATGCTTCATGGCTGCTCCGACTAACCGGAAACGCTTCATCTTCCTCCGGGCTGCTGTTCGCTCTGCGGCCGTCTGTGGGGTTCCATCGCCGTCGTCGAGCATATCATCATCGTCAAGCACATCGTCGTCCTCGTCCTTGCTCAAGCTACCCTCGTCATGGTCCATCTGGGATGAAGGCGCATCGGCACCGAGCTCTGCTGATGAAGCCGGGTTTGAGATCATTGTCTGGCCCTGCATATCTGTTGATGCCGTTGGTTCCTGGGACACCGGCTCTGCGGTCTTCTCCAAGGACTGCGATGCCTGTCGCTGTTCCTGCTGTTGCTGTCTGTCCTCGGGCTCGTCTTCCGGAGTGGGCTGCTTCACTTGACGAAGTCCAAGAGGGTCTGCTGTACCACGGTTTTCCAGACCGGGTTCTTGCTTCGTCTGGATCTCTACTTGTGCAGGGGCGCCGGTTGCAGTGCGAGGTTGCGACGCATCCGAAGTCTCATTGCCAGCTCCGTACGCCTGGGAGAAGACGTTGTTTTCCGGCCCTGGGAGGTAAGAGTACTGTTGCCCTTGCCACTCGGGAGGCGTGGGCAACGGAGCTTCGAACTGGTTCGACATGCGTGGAGGAGTGGTAGGGGCCTTGTGGAGGGGAGTCTCAAATTTGCTGTAGGACCAGTGGCTCTGCTCGGTGGTGTCAAACTGCCTGGTAACAAGCATTGGGACAGGTGTGGTGGTTTCGGTTTATGAGGTGGTTGTCTTGTTTCGAGCTGGTACAAGGACGATCTGGATCTCTCTGGAGAGAATGTCCTGAGATGAGGTTGAATCTAGGACAGATGGGAAAGGAGTGTTTGGAGGGATTGTGTTGGAAGCTATCGATGTTTGTCGAGATCTAGATGAGCTAGAAGGTGTACGACAAAAGCAACCGATAGTGGTAATATAATAGCACTCTATGTTGATGATTCAAGGTAAGGTTGATATCGGAAGGTCAAGGTGTCTAGCCTTGGAGTTGGGTCCGTCCCGAGATGGTTCTTAACAAGTTAATCAAAAGAGAGAGTGTAAGAGTGAGAGTGATATATAGATGTAGAGAGAGGATGATGCGTTGATGCGTCAAGTCGTTTTGGGAAAAGGAAGAGAAGATGATGAAAAAGGGAAAGAGGACTTGGCTACCCCAGGTCCCACGAGGTAGGATCGATCATATATTGTATAAATTTGAGGGTGTGCCAACTGATAGTATGGCGGGGTCGATCGACTGGGAGGCGTTCCTGGGCCTGGAACTGACAGGCCCCGTTATGTATGGCAAGTCTGAAGGATACCCGTGGTTGTAATAAGGCGGTCTTGTAAGGAAGCCCTTGCTCCTTAGTTTGACAGAGGTGGAATTAATACCGAAGGGTACGGCCATCCACACGGAGAAATGTCGAGGCTGGATCCGGACAGGAGGACTTGGGACTCGAGCCAGGGCCAGCACGGGCAGCCAGCAGCAGCAGCAGCTGGCCACGATGGGGGGAGAGGAATGACGGCTGGTTCAACGACGAGGGTTCGAGGGTACTCGGTACCTGACTGGTGGTGTCGAGCAGGACGAGGATGACTGGGGTGAAGAGGGTACTCAGGTACCGTAGCAGTGGAGAATGAGATGGTTGAAAAAGGGACCCGATGCATGGTTTAAGGCTCGCCGACTCGAGTGAGAAAAGCCGCAGCAGCAGTATCCGTAGCAGAGAAAGCAGAAGTAGAAGCACAAGCAGCAGCTCATGCCATGCCATGCCATGCCAGGCGGGTACGGATAGGCATGCCATGGCATCGAGCTTTGCCCGCCCGCCGTCGCCGCCGCCAGGCTCCAGGCCCCCGGCCTGGACGTGGGTGTGTGTATTTGGGATGTGGACGTGGGTGTAGATTTGTCCATGTGGATATGGACAGACGGGGAGGGAAGGGGACTGCAGGGGAGGGGATGGATCCGTAGGGTAGGGTAGGGGGAGGGGTGGGTAAGGTGGTCTGGGAGAGCAGCACCAGCAGCACCAGCAGCAGTTCCTGGCATCAACAAGTCAGTCGGGGCACGCGCGAACGTGGGTGGGCAGCTAATACCAGCCGTTGCTCTTGTCGCGGGATGCTGTTGTTGATGCTGCTGCTGCTCTGCTGAGCCACATGCATCTGTGCGTGTAAATGTGGTATGGGTGTGGATATTTCCGTCCACCACGTCCAGTCTTCTTCCCAAGCACTACCAAGTTCCCACGGTGGTACCCTACTACTCCTCCTCTTCCAGTGTCCACCCTGTGTGTTCGAGAAGAAGACCTGGGCTGAGCCTGGGGGATCGCTCAAAGCGAGGTGACAGACGAACCGGACGATGGTAGCAGCTATATCACCAAAGCCCATGGCCTTAAGATTTTCGGCTGAATGGCTAATGCCGTGCTGCCATTGAATGTCCTGGAACCCATAACCTACCCAACACCATTCCGTCATTACCAACCCAGCACGGCATAGCGCGAGCGAGAGAAAGAGAGAAAGAGTACATAGTATGTGTGTGTGTGTGTGTGTGTGTGTGTGTGTGTATGTGAGAGAGAGTGAGGGAGATACCTAACCCTTGGCCCGTGTTGGTAAAGGCAAAAAAAGAGAGATATCCTAGATTGAGATGACAGATTTCTTGCAGCGGCGTGCCAGCTGAGCAGAGTTGAGCAGCCCATGGTGAAACGGGGTCACCTTGTCTGCGAAGGCCTGAATAGGCAGGCTGATGTCGACACACGAATCAGTACAGAACCAGGTGGGCGGTTTTGGAGCAATGGAGAGGAGGGAATGAGACAGGGTTGAACGGGGGCTCTCCCTTTTCCCGCGCCTGTTCCCATTTTCCAGTAAATTTTTCTGGCCCTTGGCTTGGTGCGGCCGCAGAGAGATCAAAAAAAGAACCTGAACCTGAACCCAGAGCTGGGTTCATGAAAAAAAGCTCAGGTACCAGACGGGCACAAGCGCGAGGCACAGGCACAGGCACCGAAAGGCGCGGCCGAAGGTTTGACTGCTTGGCCCCAAAAATAATGATACTATGGATCTCGCATCGAGGCGAAGGGGGATCACAAACCACCTCAAGGTTCCCTGTGTACTTACAAGTTACGGATACACGCGATATTGCACAGGGACAGATGGCCCTCCTCCTCCTCCGAGGCTCCGACATCATACCTACATGCCTCTCTCTCTCGAGCAAGCCTTTGACACACATTGGTACTGCGTACTTACGCAACACGGCAGAGAGAAAGAATCGAAAAGACGGCTCGGGAAAAGTAAGAAAAAAAAGAAATCAAGGAGCGAAAGAGGCATCTCGGCTGGGATATCTGCATGACGCTCATTGGATCCTCTGTGACATTAGCTCTGTGTCGACTCCACGGATGAACGCATGACCGTTGTCGAGAAGCCCGGCCGAGGCCACGGCCAATGGAAAAGATCATCGATCAAGGGGGAGCCGGAGGAGGTGGATGAGCCGATGAGGAGGGTGGTGTGTGTGTGTGTGTGTGCGGTCACTGCTGGAGCTCTCTGGCTTTCTCTCACAGTTCACTTTTTCTCTCTCTGCTCGCTTTCTGGTCCCCATCCCACTGCGGACACCAAAAAAAGGGCCTGAGGAAAGGTTGCTGCGGGGGAGGGCGTCCCAAAGGGAAGCGGGACGGAGTGGAGGGTGAGCCCCAGGTGTGCGCCTATTGAGTTGGCCGGCCGCGAAGAAAAAGAAGGGTAGGGAAATCTGGTGGGGAGTGAGAGCGAGCGAGAACAAGGATCGCGGTAGTGTGCTAGTGTAGTTGCAGGGGGGCCGGACGAGAAAGAGACTCAGAGAGACAGCGAGTGCTTTCGCGAGATACGGCGCAGTCACGAGCAAGAAGCCGTATAGACTCTTGGAAGATTGGCGCTCGTCTGTGTGTTGACTGACGGCGGCAACTTAGTTGATGACTGACCGGCCGAGTGGATTATCTTGTCTCTCACTCTGTCAATGTCTCTTCACGGACACCCTCGATCGTCGATATCTTCCTCGACGGGGAGACCACTGGGTAATGGGTCGAGGACTGGAGCAAGAGGCGGCCAGAGAGGAGAACCGAACAGAGGCAAGGCAGGGGACGGTAACGGGTAACGGGTACGGACACAGAAGCGATGGGCATGGTGATGGGTTGATGGGCGACGGATGACTCCCGACCCCGGCAGACTGCCTTTGGCGAGGCAAGGGGATGGACGGACAATGAGCAGATCCTCCAAGAAAGTCGATCTTCCTCGTCTCGGTTCAAGACCTCTTTCTTTTCGCCGCCGCCGCTGCCCAGTCTTACATCGAGCAGCGAACTGTGGAAGACACACCTTGGTAAGGGTACACACAGACATTTTCAACGGATACAGGCACACGTCGATACGCACACACAAACCTTAACTATCCGCAAAACACAGCGTCCGTCAAGGCAGATTCAAGGAGGCACAGAGAGAGCAAAGGGGGGGAAAGGGAGACGGGGAAACTGTCCGCTTCCGAGGCGGAATTGGGGGAGAAAACGGCGGCGTGTCAGCCATGTGGGATTTTTCTCTTTTGATTTCGGAGGTGAACCAAAATATTCCCAAATCTGGACCGAATCTGGGGCCGCGCTTGTTGTACAGCCATGTTTTAGAAGAGGGCAGAAACAGTGAACGCGCATGTCTTTTGGCCCTGCACGTTGCGTACAGAGAACACAACGCCGTAACGCACGCAAGTTATTACTCCTTACACTAAGCTATCTTCGTGGTTCTTGGGTATGGGATGAGCGGAAAGCCAAACCTCCCCACCGTAGTGAGAAAAGCATGTTCACAGACTCCAGAGTACTCTCTCTCTGTCTCTCTCCCCCCCGTGCCAGGGCCCAGGGGAGGAGAGATGCGGTTTCTCGAAGCCCGCAGTCCCTCAATTCCAGTTTCCACATTCTCCACCCAAGAACAGACAGGCGACAGAGACTGAGAGCGAGCCCGTCTGCCAGAAGCTGTCACCGGGTACGGATACTTTGGGCTGCGGTCCACTTCCAATCTTGTGTACATCGGCCCCTTGACTAAGTCGCCCTGTTTGCCGTGTTGCAGGAAACTTAGTGGTCTCGAGCAAGAGCAAAAGTGGATTACAACGTAGCGGTAGCGGCCTTCTAGTGCTCGCGTAGAACAACGAAAACGAGCTTCCAAGTGTTCCAACGAAGGCGCCGTCTGTGTGATTAATGTGTCTGATCTGGCGTGATGAAGCGGCGTAATTTAAGCTCACGGTTTGGCGCGGCGCACTACCGCTATCGAAAGATTTTAAGATGGGAAAAGAGAGATAGGGCTAACTAAGCTAACGAGCCAACGGGCAAACGCAAACTGAGGTTATTACTCCAACACGCCTATGGTGAGTGACGTGCTGGAGCCAAACCCTCCCCCCGGAATAATCGAACGAGTTTGGCGGCGGAAAGGAAGGCGGTCAGATTAGTCTACGGCGTGTGTGTAATATGTCAAATGTACGTGACCGAACGAAAAAGCTGGTTAATTAGTTTTCCTGTAGCTTCTCTTCTGACAGCACGGCACTTGGAATATTGAAGTCTCCGGGGAGGGAGGGGGGTGCCTGACCTGGCGCTGCGGGCCTTGTCCGGCACGTCCGCGAGATTCCAATCTCCACGTGCATTTTGATTCGATCGGACCAAGAGAGACATGAAGAAGAAAGCAACAAGAGAGAGAGAGAGAAGCTGTGTTTGAAAATCGGACGCTAGGCTAGCTTAGCTAGCTTA